GACGGGGGGGAGGGGTGACATGGGGGGGGGCGCCACTGGGCCTGGAAGTGCCGGCGATAGGCCCGGCAGGGTCTGCTGGGGGCCCAAAGCCCTGGGGTGGCGCTCGCAGGAGGCCTGGCCGCTTCCCCAGCGCGGGCACACTCGATGGATGAACGAGGCGGTGGAGGGAGCAGGTTGGGGTGGGAGACCCTCTTCAGGCCCCTGGGGAAGGAGCCAGGGTGCTGGGCCCAAGGGTGCGCCATGTCACCCCCACTCTGGCTCGTTCCAGTGCTCATCACCACGGTGAACTCGCTGAGCGTGCGGCTGGGGAGCTACGTCCAGAATGTGTTCACGGCGGCCAAGCTGGTGATCGTGGCCATCATCATCCTCAGCGGCCTGGTCCTCCTGGCCCAAGGTGACCGCAGGCCGGACGGGAGGGCGGGTGCCACCGGCACAGCCTTGTCCTCCGGAGGTTGTGCTCCCGGGCCTGTCTCTCAGGAAGCCTGGCAGGAGTTCGGCCGAAAGCAGCTGTGGTTTCCCTGCTTTCCAGAGTTTGTGTGACAACCTGAGGTCACGAGTTGTGCCCTTCTGTGGCACAGATGTGAGGCAGGGCCCCAGTCTGGTCCTCTGACGCCCACAATTCACTGTCTGGCTTGATTACAGGAAATACAAGGAATTTTGAGAATTCTTTTGAGGGCACAAAACTGTCTGTGGGAGCCATCAGTCTGGCATTTTATAACGGACTCTGGGCGTACGACGGATGGTAAGGCCCCCTGAGACGTCACTCGCATCCGGTCGGGGTGTCCCAGGCCACTAGACTGAAGCCAAGGAAAGCAAGGACCCTTCCCTCCTGGGGTTTGCGGGGGACCCTAACGTTCACCTCCATGTCTCCGTTTTGCTCAGCACCCGCCCCCCTTCTGTTCTCCTCGGAGCCCACGGACACCGAAGCCCCTGCCCCTTTCCCGGCCCCGCAGAGTGGCCCAAGGGCAGGCAGTGGTGGGCCCAGGCCAGAAGCGTCATCAGACACAGACAGGCTCCGCGGGATGGGAGGCCGACATGGCAAGAATATTCCGCAGCCCTTCCATTTCAGCTGTGCAAATACGAGGCCTAGTCGATGAAGAAGCGTGACCCTCTGTGACACTGGTCTTCCGCTCATGCAAAGCAGCTTTCATTCTCCTCTCAGACAGCGAACCTTCCAGTTTTTCAAAGCAGCTTGGGGACTCATTACTCCCGATAATTCTGGCAAATTCCCATGATTCCCACAGAGGGCAAAGACTTCTCACTGACAGACGTGCAGACCTTTGGGAGCCCCACCATCACTAGGGCTTTTTCCGAAAGCAATTACCCTGAACTCCTGCTGGAGAATTTTCTCTGTGGTGGAGAGTCTGAACTGAGGCCAGCATTTATGGTGTGTTTTATGATCTCAGCAAAAAAGGCCAAAGTTAGGTCACTCATGTTACTTTTTCTTTGCCTAGGAATCAACTCAATTACATCACGGAAGAACTTAGAAACCCTTTCAGGTAAGAAAGCTGAGTCACGTGGGAGACAGCGGGCCGGCACGCAGGTTCCTTTTACCCTTGCAGAAAGCGGCCCCCCCCAGACTGCGGATGGTTCCTCAGAAGCTCGTTTCCATATACTCATCAGAGCTTGGCCGTGCTCTGGGTAGTGGGGTAGTCGCTGGGAGAATGGACGAACCCCAGCTTTATCTCGGGTTGATTTTGCTTTATAAACAGTTCAGCCTCACTGCCCTGGAGTCTGAGAGCAGGAGAGTTCTTTCTCATTTGCCGATGTCACAGCCCACAGCCCCTGCTGTGGCAGCGAGGACCCCAGCCCACCCCAGGGAGAGGTGGAGGGCTGGCCGGGTGGATGGGAAGAAAGGACAGGACAGAAACTGGTGTTTCCTGTGAGGCTGTCATGGGATGCTCTGGTCCGACCCTGGGTCCCTGCCCCTCCCAGAAACCTGCCCTTGGCCATCATCATCGGGATCCCGCTGGTGACAGGCTGCTACATCCTCATGAATGTTTCCTACTTCACTGTGATGACTCCCACGGAGCTCCTGCAGTCCCAGGCGGTGGCCGTGGTGAGTGCCCAGAGTTTGGGCAGGATGCTGCTGGGCTCTGGGGGAGTCACAAATGCCCAAGTTGAGGTACCCTCTGGGGATGAGGGAAATAATGGTCTAGGACCCGGGCAGAGTGAGCAGTTTAGGGCGGCAGCAAAGACCCGCCTGAGGAGAAAGGCCACCAGGAGGTGGCCTTCCAGTTCAGTTTGTGGCCTGGGCCCTGACACAGAATGCAGGTGGAGCAGAGCTGGATTTCACGGGGGGTGGGGTTTTGACAGACACGGATGCGGGCGAGAAAGTTCAGGGGAGGGATCAAAGGAGGGAATTATAATAACTGTGGAAATTAAGCTGGGCAAGGGGGGGTCTCAATGACAGGGAGATGGGGGTGAGGGTCAGTAGGAAAGGCGGGGGGTCCACGTGCTGGAGGCCTTGTGGAGCTGCGGTGGGACAGGAAATGAACTGCAAACAGGCGACAGGGATGGGGAGCAGGGAGAGCTGTCTTGGTCACGATGAGGTCACTGACCACAAGGACAGGTGGTTAAGGTGCAGGGAGAACAAGGTCATTCTGAGTGAGGGGGCCAAGGAAGCATGAGGCCAGGGTATTGGAAGGACACTGAAATGATGAAAAATTAGGACAGGGACAGGTGGAGAGGAGATTTCTGTTACTCTGTGTTAGAAGGTCGGGGAGGGGGGCACCTGGGTGGCTCAGTCGGTTAAGCGGCTGCATTCAGCTCAGGTCATGATCCTGGGGGTCTGGGATCGAGTCTCACATAGGGCTCCCTGTTCGGTGGGGAGCCTGCTTCTCCCTCTGACCCTCCCCCCTCTCGTGCTCTCTCTCACCTTCTCTCTCTCAAATAAATAAATAAAATCTTTAAAGAAAAAAAAAAAAAAAGGTCGGGGAGGGACAGTAAAGTATCCCTCAAACTGAGAAGGCACTTTGAGACAAAAATGAAGCACTGACTCCATATAGTTTATACACAGTTCTATTCAGGGTAACTTCCTGACAGGGGAATCAGGTGGAGTTTGATCCAGGCTCAGTGCAGTTATTCTCTGCAAAGTCTGGACCTTAGTCCACAGATTTTATGGAGTGAGGTGGTGCGCAGAAGGGCACTGTGGTGACAGCAAAGGGCTAGCATGCACCCCACTGACAGCCAACCTTTAATTAGATCTCGTGGCACCACCTGTGCACCAGGAAGGGGACAGACTGTGTTCTAACAGAATCCTGGGAGGCCAAAACAAGCCTCCCCACATCCCGACCTTGGCAGGTGTTTCTAAGGTATGGATATTAATCCCCAAGGCACCCTGAACACGTAGCCCCAAGAGAGGTCATCCAGCAAACATGAATAAGATGGAGGGCCAAGGATGGAGTCAGTATGGTCAGTTCTCCTGCACTCCGGGGGAGAAAGGCTAAGTTGTTTTCCTCCTGAGAGATTGTCTACTTTCTCCTTTCCTGGAGGGGAGTCAGAGGCCGTGCCCCCCAGGGGTGGGGGTCCAGCTGCCAGGCAGGGCCCAGCAGCTTCCTTGGGACCCACAGCTCCTGCGGGCCGTGCAAGACCCTCAGGGCTCCCCTGCTTCTCTCTGCAGACGTTTGGTGACCGTGTTCTCTATCCGGCCTCTTGGGTGGTTCCACTGTTCGTGGCCTTTTCCACCATTGGTGCCGCCAACGGGACCTGCTTCACAGCGGGCAGGTAGGGGAACCCCGCACTCACCCCGGGGGGGCAGAGGGCAGCTGAGCCCGTCCCACACTTGAGGAAGACAAGACTCAGGGCAAAAGTCCTTAGGGCTCTGCCAGGCTAACACCCCATGGCATAACAGAAAACCCAATGTCTAACTGGAATTTGAATAAAAACTTAAAAAAAAAAAAAAAAGAGGGAAAACCCAAAGTTCTGGAAAGGGAGCAAAAAGTGTGGCCAAGCCTGCACACTGGCACTAGGCATGGTGGCCCCACGGAAGCAAGGCTCTATGCTCCTCAGGAGGGAGCAGCGCTGCCAACTGCAGGACAAGGTGGAGCTTGGGGACACAGAGTGACAGGCACACTGGTGGTACTTTTCACCTTGTCTTGTTGTCACCTATGGATATTTCTTGAACATCTTCTCCTGTGAATATATACATAATCGAGATCAGAGAGTAACATTTTAGGCTTTCAGGCCATGGCGGTCTGTCACTACCCAACTGTCTCTGTAGCACGACAGCAAACAGCTGAGGTCCTGTTCCTCTCAGACGTTACTCACACAAACAGGTGTAGCTCGCCAGCCCCGCCAACCCTCTGGACCCTCCTGCTCCAGAGACCGTTAGTGGCTGCGTCGTAGTCCATTTTACGACATAGCACAATTTCACATAACCTCAGCTCATGGGCTGAGTGGGGCTTGTTTTCATCAACATTGCCCCAGGGAACATTCTGGAACACGTCTTTGCCTGGTTGTCCAGGGTTCTGAATGGCTATATTTCTGAGAGTGGAATTGCCACGGATTATACACTGACACGCGATAGACCGCAAAATCATTCTTCTGAAGCGGTGTCAAAAAAGACTTCCCTTCTTCAGAAGCCTTCAGCTATTCTGGGTCCTTTGCGTTTCTAGATGAATTTTAGAATCTGCTTGTCAATTTCTACCAAAAGGCCTTCAAAGACTTTGACCAGGGCTGTGTTCCATCTGTAGATCAGTTTGGAGAGGGCTGCCATTTAATTGTATTGATTGTTCTAATCTAAGGGCAAGGACCCTCTCCCTTTATATAGGTCTTAATTTTTTTAAAAAATGTTTTCTTGAGTAGTTTCAGTATATGGCTCTTGCATATATTTTGTCAGATTCATCCCAAAATATTTCATATTTTGGGGGCACCTGGTTGGCTCAGTTGGTTGAGCATCTGCCTTCCATTCAGGTCATGGTCTTGGTGTCCTGGGATTGAGCCCTGAGTCAGGCTCCCTGCCTGCTCAGCAGGGAGTCTGCTTCTCCCTCTCTCTCTGCCCTTTCACCCTGGCTCGTGCTCTCTCGCGCTTTCTCTCAAATAAAAAATTCATATTTTTTGTGCTATTGTAAATGGTATTTTTTTAAATTTCCGTTTCTGATAAGTTTATTGCTCATATACAGAAACACAATTTCAGTAGCTCTACTGAGGTTTAAATACCATAAAACTCACTTTGCAATTATACAATTCGATGATCTTAGTAAATTTATAAAGCTGTGCAAATATCCTCACAGTCCAGTTCTAGAACATTTCCATCATCCCAAAAAGTTCACTCCTGCTTAACTGCAGTTCATCCCTGCTCCCTGCTCCATCCCTAGACTACCACTGACCTGCTCCTGTGTCTATAACTTTGCCTTTTCTGGACATTTCCTTTAAATGGAATGATGCACTGTGTCATTTGCATCTGGCTTTTTTTCACTTAGCATATTATTTTTGAGGTTCAGCCATGTCATAGCATGTAACTGCTCATTCCTTGTAACTGCTGAATTGTATTCCATTATATGGATATACCACATTCTGTTTATCCGTTCACCAGTTGAGGGAGGTTTGCATTGCTTCTGGCTCTTATGAACAGTGCTGCCATGAACATTCACACACATGTGTTTGTGCGGACTTATGTTTTCATTTCTCTTAGGTAGCTTCCTAGTAGAAACACTGGCTCAGAGAGTAAATTTGTGATTAACTTTTACAGAAGCTGCTTGACAGTTTTCTAAGTGGCTGTTCCATTTTAATTTCCATAAGCCATTCATGACCATTCCAGTTTCTCCACATCCTAACACTTGGCATTGTCTTTCTAGTGGGTATTAGTCATGTCGTTGTGGCTTTAACTGCATTTCCCGAATGACTAGTGATACGGAGCATCTTTTCATGTGCTGATTAACCATTCATATATCTTCTAATGAAATATCTATTCAAATCTTTTGTTCACTTTTTAAACTGAGCTGTTTGTCATCTTATTGTGTTGTAAGAATTCTTTATATATTATGGATATAAGTCCTTTATCAGGTATCTGACTTGCACATATTTTCTCCCAGTCTGTGGCTTGTCTTCTCATCTCGTACTGGTGTTTTTGATATACGCATGTTTTTAACTTTGATAAAGCCCAGCTTATTTTTTTGTTCATGTGTCATATTTTTGTTATCATATCTAAGAGCCTTTGTGCAACCCAAGGCTGTCACAAAGGTCACAAAGATTTTCTCTTCTGTTTTACCCTAAAAGTTGTTTTTTTTTAATAGATGTAGCTCTCACACTTAGATTTATGATCCATTCTGAATTAATTCTGTATAGTTCTGTACCTGTGCAGCTTGGGGGTTGGTCAGAATTATGACTTATGTTGGATAGAATTTTTGCAGGGTCACATCCAAGATTTTTGCTTCCTGGTATCTGAGTTTTCTATGTCACATAGACAAACCTTCCTCCTTTCAAGAATACCCACCTGTGTTTTCTTCTAGCATTTTACTTTAGCTCTTTGATCACTCTGGAATATATTTTGATATGAGGCATACATCTCACTTTTCCCCCTCAAACTTCTACCTGTCGTCCTGATATTATTTATTGATAGTCCATCCTTTCTCCTCCTGGTTTGAATGCCATCATTCTCATGCCCAGGGTTCTGGGTTCACTCTGCTTCACAATGGGCCCCGTCCTGTGCTATCACTGTGCATAGGGATGCTTCCCAAACCCCCTCGGGTAACATCGGGAAGAACCAGTGCTCCCATGTCCGTGCTCCACTCCTCCTTGCCTGCTCAGCCCTCCAGCCACACTTGCAATGACTATCCAGTTCCAAGTGTCCGCTTGCTTTCTGAGCCCATGGAATTTACCGAGAGGTTTGTGAGCGCTGAGGGGTTTAAAGCGTGAGGTCACAGCGCCACCTGGAGTCTGTCTCCCTCCATCTGGAGACTCCTTTCCTCCCAGTTTCATGGGCTTGTTCTGGGAACTAGATGCCATGTTTATGTCTTTTTCAAAGTTCAAATATGTAGTTTTATTTATTTTTTAAGGTTTTATGAGAGAGAACACAAGCAGAGGGAGAGGCAGAGGGAAGGAGAAGCAGACTCCCTGCTGAGCTGGGAGCCCGACTGGGGCTTAATCCCAGGGTCCTGGGATCGAGTCCCACATCGGGCTCCCTGCTCGGCGGGAAGCCTGTTTCTCCCTCTCCCACTCCCCCTGCTTGTGTTCCTGCTCTCGCTGTCTCTCTCTGTCAAATAAATAAATAAAATCTTTAAAAAATAAATAGATAAATAGACAGACTCTTTTGGCCTCTGTATTCCTCACTTGTCATTTTATTGTATTATAGTCAGAGTGTGGGATCTTTATGATCTCACTTCTTTAGAAGCTTTATGCCTTGCCTTGTGGCTTACTGCAGTTTTTATAAATGCTTCCTAGGGTCTTGAAAATAAGGTATATTGTGTTTACGTTCTTGATTTTTATTTTATTTTTTTTAAGATTTTATTTATTTATTTGACAGAGAGAGACACAGCGAGAGAGGGAACACAAGCAGTGGGAGTGGGAGAGGGAGAAGCAGGCTTCCCGCTGAGCAGGGAGCCCGATGCGGGGCTCGATCCCAGGACCTGGAATCATGACCTGAGCCGAAGGCAGATGCTTAACGACTGAGCCACCCAGGCGCCCCTTGATTTTTATATCATCGTCAAGCTTGTGCCTTGACTGTTCAAATCTTCTGCTCTCAGTGGATTTGTTGAGTTTGGCCCTCTATGTTTCAAGGGCTCCAGTTTTGGCATCTTCTTGGTAGACGGCTTCTGTTTTCAGTGGGAACTCTTTTTGCCTTAAATTCTGTTTTGTACAATATTGCTCTTGAGGACTCTGCAGGCTCTAGGCTGCTGCTTCGGGTAACACATCTCACCCCTTGTATCTTCCACCCTCGGCATCATGGGGCTGTGGCTTGTGTCTCTTTCAACAACCCCCCAGGTTGTCTCCGGCCCGGGCAAGCAACATCTGACCACAGTTGATGTGATTCCTATTACAGTGGGATTGATTTCCAATATACTGTGTTTTCTTGGCTTTTGAAAAATCTTACCCTGATTTATTATCCATCAAATGTCCTTTTTTCTACTGATATGGAAGTTTTATTTCTCTTTTTTAGCAACTACCCTTCAAATTTAACTCAAATACCTAACAGAGTCTGTCAGCATCTCCATTCTCCCCCTTCTCCTGCGAGGGCTCCCCCTTTTGCACTGTCCAGTAGATGAGCTGCACCTTGTCTATAAACCCGCCCCTCCAGAAAAAGTTCATCCTGACAAGAATTAAAAATGTATGTACTTACATCCATACCAACATGTTTTACTGCTGTTTCCTTAACACTGCTTCTTCAATCAACTCCTGAGTTCAGTTTCTTTCTGTCTGTTGGAGTAGACCAAATAGTTTCCAGTGAGGATCAGAGAACAGAAAATGTGTTGTAGTTATTGTTCACCTACAAATGTATTTATTTTGCCCCTAGTCCTGAATGATAGTTGAGCTATGCAGCACCGGAATCTGAAAACCAATGCCCCTCATCGCTTTGAACATAGTCTCATGCCATGTCTGCTATGGTTCTGGTTGTCCTAATTTTGTAGTTAATCTTTTAAATTTGGAAGCTTAAGAAATTTTTCTTCCTTCCACACTGTTTATATCTGGGTATGTTTTTATCTTGAGCTGGGTTTAATGTGAAAGCTGTTTTTCAGTTCCGTGAAAGCTCTCTACTCTTCAAGTCTGCCTTACTGCATTCAACATATTCGGGCTTCTTCTTGTTTCTTCTCTCGATTTCCTGCCTACATTTTCCATTTCTCTACCCTTCATAACTCAGATCTAGTTGGTTTTTTTTTTTAAGATTGTATTTATTTAGAGGCAGAGCACAAGTGAGGAGAGGGGCAGAGGGAGAGAGAATCCTAAGCACACTCCACGCTGAGCATGGACCCTGACAGGGGGCTCGCTCTCATGACCCTGAGATCATGACCTGAGCCAAAATCAAGAGTCGGACACTTAACTGAGCCCGCACAGGCGCCCCGCTCAGATCTAGTATCTTTTATTATAATTAGAACATTAAAATTTTTTTAAATTCACTTAATTAATATATAATGTATTATTGGCTTCCAAGGTAGCGGTCAGTGTGATTCATCGGTCTTATATAAACACTCAGTGGTCATTATATCACATGCCCTCCTTAATGTCCATCACCCCATTACCCCATCCCCCCACTCCCCTCCAGCAACCCTTCAGTTTGTTTCCTATGATTAAGAGTCCCTTATGGTTTGTCTCCCTCTGATTCTGTCTTGTTTTATTTTTTCCTCTCTTCCCGTATGATCCTTTGTTTTGTTTCTTAAATTCCACATATGAGATCATATAATTGGCCTTCTCTGATTGACTTATTTTGCTTAGCATAATACCCTCTAGTTCCATCCACGTTGTTGCAAATGGCAAGATATCTTTTTTTTTGAAGGCTGAGTCATATTCCATTGTATATATATACCACATCTTCTTTATCCATTCATCTGTCGATGGACACCTGGGCTCTTTCCACAGTTTGGCTATTGTGGACATTGCTGCTATAGACATTGGGGTGCAAGTGCCCCTTCAGATCCCTACATTTGTATCTTTGGGGTAAATCCCTAGTAGTGCAATTGCTGGGTCATAGGGTAGCTCTATTTTCAACTTTTTGAGGAACCTCCACACTGTTTTTAGAGTGGCTGCACCAGCTTGCATCCCCACCAACAGTGTAGGAGGGTTCCCCTTTCTCCGCATCCTTGCCAACATCTGTTGTTTCCTGACTTGTTAATTTTAGCCATTTTGACTGGTGTGAGGTGGTATCAGATCTAGTTTCCAATTTATTTTTTTCACTTTGAAACTAGATTAACAACTGTTGATTACATTCTTAAATTATGGTAATTTTTTATTTTTTAAAAATTCTGTTTGGCTTTTCCCCCCCCTTTTCTCTCTCCAGCATTTTAAACATAGTCTTTCAGATTTCTGAATCACCACGAGTTCTTGGGAGTGGGGGTGGGGGGACTAAGCCATTTATTTGCATCTACTGACCCACCCTTAATTCATCTTTTGGGTTTTTTGTTTAATATGGAAATTCTGTACAGCGTGGATCTAGGAAGTACCAGGCGCCTCTGTGTTTGCCTCTGTCTACTCCAAGCACGGAGGTCCACTGGTCCCGGACTGGTTTTTCCCTTACGTGAAAGCATAATTTTGAGGGCACAGGAGTAGGTGTCTCCTCCTGAAAGGTCCTCCCCAAACCCTAAGCCAGCCCCCAGCTCTCCCCTATGCAGATGACCCACGGTACCGGGATGCCTCGCTCTCAGGGGCATTTAACCACCTCACTCACTTCCCCAAAATTCACTCACCTCCCTGAGACCACCTCCCACTGAAGATGCCAGGTTCCAGTTCAGTCCCTGTCTCTGTGGCTTTGGTAGTGACTCCCAGTGATGGTACAACAGCCGCACACCCATCCATGAGGCCTCCATTACTGCTTTTTTAGACTTGTGTACGTGGCGGGCCGGGAAGGCCACATGCTCAAAGTGCTGTCCTACATCAGCGTCAAGCGCCTGACTCCAGCCCCTGCCATCATCTTTTATGTAAGTATGAATTCTGCCAGCAGACACCCCCTTAAAGGCAGAGGGGCCCTGAAGGAACCCGGTATTGCTAAGCCCAGTGGTTTTCACATGGCCCAGGCTCCCTTGCTCCTCGACACGAAATAGGTTAAAAAGCCCATGACAGTGCAAACATTGCCCAACACGTCTGCTCCTTGTTCTGACTTTGTCCGTGAAAGACACTGTTCGACTCTTCCAACTTTCTACCCTCTACACCCCTTACGTGTACATCTGTATGTCTGGGTCCCTGGTAACAAACTATACAAAACCCCACTCGCTTACAGAGAAGGAGAATAAGGCATTCACGAGGTGGTTACCGATAAGTACTTCTTATGGCCCCATAATTTAGACATCATGGCGCCCTTGCACAGTAGAGGCCCTCTGACATCCTCTAATTGGAGTTTCTAAGTGGGGGACAGTCCTTGGTTGTGTGCCACTGTCTCTGGCACCTGCGGACCGTCCAAGCCCAGCCTCGGGGCCAGACTCCTTCCACCCCGAAGGAGAAGCACTACTCTCCATCAGCCTACTGCCTTTGAAGATGAGGAGAGGCCTCCTGGGACAAGGCCCAGGCCCCACAGCTAAGGCGGGTCCCCTCAGCCACCCAGGCTGAGACAGGCAGGGCCCTTTCCCCTGACGAAGACTCTCTGGCAGGAACATTTACCATCAGAAAGCTGGTGTGGTGGTACATGCATACTTTGTTTTTTCCCCTGCTTAAAATGGCAACTTCAAAGAGTCACAGATTTTCCAAGTCCTTTCCATCAGGCTTCAGGGAGCACACTCACCATAGCCAAAGCCTGGTTTAATCCCAGCTATAACGGGATGCATAGGTTTCTTTCATGCTGACCTGTTCATCCACAGGAGACACTGCTTCTTCAGTCTCCTGTGACGTGGCAGGGATCCTGTGACCTAAGAATTCACTCTTCCTTCCACTAGGGTATCATAGCGACTATTTATATCATCCCTGGTGACATAAACTCATTGGTCAATTACTTCAGTTTTGCCGCATGGCTGTTTTATGGCCTGACGATTCTGGGATTGGTTGTGATGAGGTTTACGAAGAAAGACCTGGAAAGGCCTATCAAGGTAGGTTTTTGCCCCAGATGTCACGAGTGGCTTTGATTTCTTGAAATGGATTAGAAGTAAGTACTTGAAAATCTAGGGGCATGCTTTCTATTTCCGACCTGACTCTACTGTCCCCTTGAACATCATAGTTTAGAGTGGTGTTTGCTCCTGAATTCTGGCCCTAGACCCATTCCTATGTGGGCAACCACTAATAATCTACATCTGCAAACTGGGGTTCCCTGCCACCTCCCTGCACAGCTGGAGTAGGTCTATATGCCAATGCAAGAAGAATTTATTTTGTTTTGCTTGTGTTAGAGGCTTTTGCTTTGTTTTGTTAACAACTTCACTATTGACTTCTTACAACAACTGCAGATATAAGAACAAGGTAGGGAAGCTGAGGGCTTAAATAAATAGGACAAGAACAGGATGTTGTCTTTCTGGCCCTGTAGCCTGACTATCACCAAGTCTCCAGAGTCAGCTGAGACATGGAGTTTGGCAGTCCCACCTCAATTAGGTCATCTGGCAGGCAAAATCATGATGGTAGAACAGATTTTTCATCTGCACAAAACCCCTCAAACAAAAAGGATTTGAGAGAAAATAACGAAGATAGGGAAAGAAGTCTCTAACACATCTATAATTGGAGTTCCTGAAGAAGAAAATAAAAGCAACAGATTTTTTTTTTTTTTAAAGATTTATTTGACAGGGAGGTGGGCGGAGAGTGAGAATCCTCAAGCAAACTCCTCGCTGAGTGAGGAGCCCAACATGGGGCTTGACCCCATGACCCCCGAGATCATGACATGAGCTGAAATCAAGAGTTGGCCACTCAACCTGACTGAGCCACCCAGGCGCGCCCCAAAGCAATAGAATTCTTTAGAACTATAATTCAAAAAAAACATTTCCTGGGGCAGGTGGGAGAGTGGGAGGGGGCCGTGAAAAAGGAGGGGACCAGAACCAACACACCAGAAGGCGTACGGCATCAGTGGGGAATCTGAGCTAGAAGGGGCGACAGGGAACTATATTCTGATTAAATTATGGAGCTTTAAAAGATCATGCTTTGGGTATCTACTCCTCCTTTCGTGCCCTTCTCAGACCCCAATTCACTTATAAAGGAAAGAAATTAATATAGGGATTAGGATTCTCATCAGCAACACTTCATAGCCTGAGATAGTGGAGCACATGTTTATGGTATTCAAAGACAGAAAATATAAGCCAGAGATTTTATATCCAAACTGACTTCAAAGAATAAAGTGACCAAGGAGCACCTGGGTGGCTCAGTTGTTTGAGCAGCCAACTCTTGGTTTCAGCTCAGGCCATGGTTTCAGGGTTGTGAGATCGAGCCCCATGTCAGGGTCTGTGCTCAGTGGGCAGTCTGTTGTGGGTTCTCTCTCTCCCTCCCCCTCCTGTGCATGCTCACTCTCTCTCTCGAATAAATAAATCTTAAAAAAAAAAAAAAGAATAAAGTTACCAATATGAAACATCTCAAGGCATGGATGGCTACAGGAGACCTTCAGGAGGAGTCATCCAGAGAACAAGCTTCAGAAACCAAAAAGTCAGTGGCACAAGGTGAATACCCTTAACTACAGAACTGGAATAAATGATGGGAGATAAAGGGGACACAACAAGGATGCAAATATCAAGCACTGACAATACCTTATGACAGAAGTGGAAGAGAAAGCATATGAAAGTGTGCCAGTTAAGGAAAGCATGCCGAGGAAACTGCCCTAGGCTACCATCCAAAATTAGACATGAGGAGGAAAGGGAAGAATCCCTAGCTAACTCTGTTACTGCTTTTATAGACAGTCTGTAAAATAGAGGAGAGTCAGGTGTGGTGTTTACTATTTATAATGGCAACTCTCAGAACAAAAACAGCATTTATAGATCCCTAAAGATATATCCAAAATAAATACACACACACACGTATGCAAGAGACCAGATCATAAAAGACCCGCTATATGAAGACGCCAATAGGGAAACAAATCAGAATATCTTCCTGGTTAACATTTTCTTGGTAGAACGCATATTAGGGTTCTTTTTGCTTATTAGTTTTTAACACCCCAAACTTTCTAGACTCTATAATAATCTCTTAATACTCCTATTAAATCAAGACTTATTTAAATTTATCAATTATAATTATTAAATTATTGGTTTAATTATTTTTTAAATGAAGTCTGAGTCTTTTATTTCTTAAAAAAAGATTTTGAGAGAGAGAGCACAAGCGTGGGGGCAGGTGCAGAGGCAGAGGGAGACTCCCCGCTGAGCAAGGAGCACGATGCGGGGCTCGATCCCAGGACCCTGGGATCATGACCTGAACTGAAGGCAGACGCTTAACTGAGCCACCCAGGCGCCCCTTAATTTAATTATTTAATAATTATTAATATTTAAATCCCAAAATGTAATATGGTATTTTCAAGACATGTGTGAGGAAAATTTCAAATTGCACTCCAAATCCAACACAATTCAGAGTTGTGTGTAGGCACCCCAACAAATGAGAGTCCTGTGTCACTCATGCTGGGAGACTGTGTCACTGCATCAAAGGTAACCACTTGTTAACAACCATGCTAACTGGCTGGTCAGCAGGAAATCACCTTTAAAGCAGTTTACTTCCTGGTATAGTGCACGTTGGGTATTTATATACATTTACTGTGTTTTAGTTATCTTTGAGGACATTGGTTGGGAATTTGGGGTTTCCTGTGATACATGATCTTTTTTTCCCCCATATAAAATAAGGGAAATGGGGGACACCTGGGTGGCTCAGTCAGTTAAGCGTCTGCCTTTGGCTTGGGTCATGTTCCCAGGGTCTTGGGATTGAGCCCTACACCCCTACCTCCCTGCTCAGTAGGGAGCCTGCTTCTCCCCCTGCCTGCCACTCCCCCTGCTTGTGCTCTCTCTGTCAAATAAATAAATAAAATCTTTTAAAAATAGAATAAAAGAAAAGAAATGGGCCTCAGGTGAGAGTTTTCCCCACAGAATGTCACTGTTTAAGGGCAGAAAACTAACAATAAGCAGAAGCCTACATATAGGAATAGAGAACAGTGTGGAGCCCGAACTTGTCAGTTACACGAATAAACTGGCTTATTCAGTTTAAATGAGCCTAAAACCAATCATTAAAGGGAAAAGATTTTTCAAGCAGGTTTACAAAGCTGTGAGAAAAAAGGATAAGCAAAATACATACCAAGCAAATGAAAATACTCCTAAAACAGGGGTTGTGATCTTATCAGACGACAGTACTCCTACCCAAAGCACAAGACACTTCAGTGTCTTTAGTGATGCTAACGGCTAAAATTCACAATAAACTGTGATGGCAGGCATGAAAACTTACTCACCAAATCACACAGTAATCCTTGTTACGAAGCAGAAACTTCAGCAAGTACAAGGAGACACGGACACACACCCTAACAGTGGGCTTTAACGGGGCTCCCTTCAGTCCAAGACAGACCCAGACATCTCATTGGTACAGGTGACAAGCCCTAAACAGAACAAGGCAGATCTTAGAGACCGTTCCAGACTCTGAATCCCCAAAAGAGCAAACACCTTTTCAAGTGCATATAGGACACATCTGAAAACTGACAAATGCCCCAAAGAAAACCTTGATAAAACATCAGTAATAAAGACATACCCCATTCTCTGTCTATAATGCAATAAAACAGGAAATTAATGTAAAGAATTTCAACTTTTCAGTCCAATAGGAAATGAAAGTACATAAACTCCTAAAAATAACAGTAAGACATTATCTATGATCAGTGCTTTGAAGAAGTTTTGTTGCATTAAATACAATAACAATGAAAACAATCAGGCAACTAAAAAAGCAAGAGAAAGAACAACAAAGAAAACCAAAAGAGTGTATAAGAATTGATAAAAAAGAATTTAAGATAATCTTAACTGGATCATCTGGTTTTTGGAACTTTCCTGAGAATTCGGATTCTGATGGGGTTAGTTTTAGTAACTTTACATTTTCCCAGAAAATTGTCCATTTCATCACACTTACTTATATGGGGTTGTACAAATTAGTATGTTCTGGAGATTATTTCCCCGTTTTTGTTTCTTATTTTCGTGTTTGTGCTTCCTCTCATTTTTTAAAATGTCAGCTACAGGGGCGCCTGGCTGGCTCAGTTAGTAGAGCGTGTGACTCTTGACCTCAGGGTTGGGAGTTCAAGCCCCATGCCGAGTATAGAGATTACTTAAAATATTTTTTTTTTTAAAAAGGCGAAAGGTTAGGTACAGGTTGTTTTATTGATTTTTCAGATTATTTCTATCAACAGGGTGTCTGGGTGGCTCAGTCGGTTAAGTGTCTGACTCTTGATCTCAGCTCAGGTCTTGATTTCAGGGTTGTGAGTTCAAGCCCTGCATTGGGCTCCACGCTGGGCATGGAGCCTACTTAAGAAAAAAAAGCAAAGAAATACACTGAAATCAGTAGCCTTTGTTTATAAAAATGACATCCAATTGAAAGATAACAAAGAGAGCACCTCATTCCCCAAAACAATAAATAAGTGCCTAGCCATAACCTTAACAAGAGGTAAGGCCTCTAAGTTGTAGCAGAATTCTTTTGAAAGACAGAAAAGATCACTCGAACAAGTGAAAATTCATACATGTTCTTAGGAAAAATCAGTGTCATAAAGATGTCACTGTTTTTTGTTTTTATGGGGGTGGTGGGGAGGAGCAGAGGGAGAATCTTAAGCAGACTCCAAACACAGCGCGTAGCCCAACGTGGGGCTTGATCTCATAACCCTGAGATCATGACCTGAGCCTAAATCAAGAGTCTGCTTAACCAATTGAGCTCCCCAGGCACCCCAAGATGTCACTGTTTTTAATTTAGACATTTAATGAGATCACGATACATCTGATTTTTTTTCTAGAGTTGCAGGAGTTGATTACAAAGATCAAACTGATGCAAGAATAGCCACCAAAACAGAAGAGAGAATATTAAAATATAAAGGTTTTAAAATTTAAATATTATGGTGCTGATGCATGAAGAAAATATAAATTATATAAATTGCTTTGTAATCAGAAATGGGGGAAATCTTTCCTATGACTCAAAATCTATCAATACTAAGGAAAAAATGGACAAACATAAACCCACCAAAAAAATTTAGGCATTGATAAAAAGAGAAGTTAAAAACCCACATATATAACAGATGGGGAGAATATTGGCAATAATATCACAAAAGAGTTCCTAAAATGCAGATGGGAATTACCAACATCTGAAAGGGACTGATCATATAAACAAATAAAAAATGAAGACAGTTCAGAGAGATACTACAATGATGCTTAAAAATGAAGCAAATGAACCCCAACAAGGCCCGCCCCCCCGCCCCTAATAGGAGAATGCTGGCCACAATTCTGATGAGGTGCCCCTGCTTGCCCATCAGACAGGCAGAGATCCCACGCTCTGGTCCCACTGTATTCTGGTGAGGCCTCAGGGAAGCAGCCCACACTCGCACATGGTGGCTGGAATACAAATGGAGGAGCTGTTATGGAGGTGGGGGGGGAGAGGAACTTGGCAACATCTAGCAATTTCACAGTTGCACTTATCTTTTGACCCAGCCACCCCATTTTGAGGTAATCTACCCCCAAGGTGATATTGGCCAAAGTATGATGTATATACAAGGTTCTTTACTCCAGCATTTGCTGTACTAGCAAAAGGCTCAGCACAACCCAAAAGCCAATCAGTGGGAGACTTGGTCAAATAAATTTTGATACATCCACAAAGTAGAGTGTGATGCAGCAGGAAAAGGTGGAGGAGTAATATTCTGTGTATTATCATAGCACTACCTCTGGAATAGATTAATAGGAAAAAGCGAAGTACAAAACTACCTGTTACATATTTGCTAGCTTTTATCCGGGGGTAGCGGAAGATGAACGTGTGTGTGTGGTTGTGCTTCTATTTATTCTCAAAAATAAATAATGGAAGAAAAAAACCAAAATCAATAAAAAGTTTTAAATTATAATATTTTAAAAATTAAGATAGAAGGGAAAAAACAAATCCCTCAAAACTGAAAACAAATGGAGATAAGAAACCTTACTCTGTGATAAGTAAATGACAACACCACACAGGGAAAAACCGAAGGGCAGTATGTTGAATGAATCTCCCTCGTGGGTTATAGTCTTGAGATTAAAAAGAACAAGAAATCTTACACTTCATACCATACTTATAGTAGTGGTAGGACTGGCACAGTTATTTTGCCCATTTATTACAGGCACAGTACGGGATAAAGCAAGTGAGTGATTATGCTAAAGCCATTAAGAACCAAGATTTTCATAAGAGTAAGAAAACAAGACATGAAGTCTAAAGGGAAAGAAATGCAATGAATTGGAAATATCAGTATGAACTTGTGAATTTTTTCTTGAAAAAAAAATTTTCTCTCTTTCCCTGCAAAAGAACAATGAGTACTCCAATCCCCCAGATTATGGTTTCTAAGTGCCATTTCCAACTAAAAGAAAACTGCTCCCTGCCGAAGCTGGAGGAGTCCCGATCTGGTGGCACTGGTTTCTCCTCCAGCCCCTGAACCCACAGACCCTGGCAATTCAGAGGTGGGACAGTGGGACATCAGGGCCTCGTGATGTTACAAGGGGCAGCATATGGCTCCAACTACAAAGTATTCTTGCCTCCGGATCCAACAACCCGCGTGTGGGAAATCTGAGGGACAGAGGAGCAAGTTTCAGGCAAAGCTAGAATTAAGACCTTGTATTAGGATGAATCATCCGATTCCTATAACAAATCAATGACAAGGTAAAAGAAAAAAAAAAGAGGAGGGAATAAACATGTTAAAACATAACCTCCTCCTCAGAGGTGAATACTGAATGGTTTCATGGGTAAAATGACATGATGTCTGACATTTTCTTTATGTTCTAGGGAAAAGAAAAAAAAGGTAGACTGAATGAAACAAGATTGGCAAAATTACTTTAAAACTATTGAAATTGGAGGACAGGCACAAGGAGCTCATCATATATGTTCTGTAGCAGTGTTTGGTCTGGGATGCACGTTTTCGGGAAGACGGTGGATGCCCATGGCCAGGCCATGACACCGTGTTGTCTGTCGGCAGGTGCCCATTTTCATCCCCATCATGGTGACCCTCATATCTGTGTTCCTGGTTGTGGCCCCGATCATCAGCGAACCTGCGCTGGAGTATCTCTACTGTGTATTATTTATGCTGAGCGGCCTTATATTTTACTTCCTTTTTGTCCACTATAAGTTTGGATGGGCTCAGAAAATCTCAAGTAAGTACCAACAGAGGGCCTGTTCTCTTAGCGAAGCACAGACAGGCGACTGCACTCCGCAGCCTCACCTGTCCTTCCCTATCGCAGGAGCTCATGCAGCTAGCAAATCTCACCTTCTCCTCCGTGGGGCACCTCTGGGGTCCACCTGGGGCCTCTGCCTTTGTTCCCCGTCAATTACTGTAAACAAGTAGGAAGGGAAATCACCATCTGCTTTTTTTTTCATTGTAAGATACACATAACAAGGAATTGACCATCCTAATGATTTCTTTAAAAAAAAATTTATTTGACAGAGAGAGACACAGCGAGAGAGGGAACACAAGCAGGGGGAGTGGGAGAGGGAGAAGCAGGCCTCCCGTTGAGCAGGGAGCCCGATGTGGGACTCGATTCCAGGACCCTGAAATCATGACCTGAGCCGAAGGCAGACGCCTAATGACGGAGCCACCCAGGTGCTCCCTCCTAATGATTTTTAAGTGTATGGTTCAGTACCGATGAGCATATTCACATGGTTGTGCCTCCAACCTTCAGAGCACCACCTTCTCTTGCCTGATACACAGACATCCTGAGAGGCCCAGCAGCATCCCAGAGACACCCGAACAGTGTTGGGATGAGAGCCTGAGCCTTCCCATGCCGAAGCCCTAGCTCTTGCTCACCACTCAGCAATCCTGGCTGCTCATCTACTGTAGGCCAATTGTGGGTTAGAAGTTCAGCTACATTAGCCACTTTCAATCAGGGGGACTCGGCACAGCACACGGACATTCACAGTGCCGCGCCCCGCGCCATAGATTCAACCGCAGGGAAGCGCCAGCACCCCTTGGCCATCGGGGGCCAAGGCCATCAGTGATCCACTACCTGAAGACCTGTTTCTTGGTCTCCCTCTCCCCGTACTGTTTCTACAAGGCGGGAATTGGGCTGCGCAGTCTCACTCCGGATCTATACAACAGCCGCCTAATGTTCATGGAGTAAATGTGATTCAACATCTGCCCCTTCTCCTTCAGCTTGTCTGAACAGAGAGCAGGGAAAGTACAACCATCCCCCCTCAGCACTCCTCCGGGGTTTCTACATATATATATATATATATATATATATATATATGCAACTTCGGGAAACACACGGTATGAAAGAGTAAAACCCAACTGGAAGGCAGTGAGGTTGACCCTGAGACTTTGTTTAGACTGAGCCAGCGGGGACTGGGAATGCCTTTCTCCAGCCTGGGCTGTTCAGATCCTGGCGTGGCCTGCATTCCTCGCCGGTGAAACCCGACAGCGGTGTTATAATAAGCAAGAGAAAATCTGTTTCATGTTGATTAGCCAAGTGAAACCACACCTGAAATAGGGCTTTATTATTTCCACCAGGGACTTTTTCCTTTCCTGAAAGAGCTCTCCCCACCGCCCAACCTCTTTATACTCTGATCGAAGGCCTAGGCTGGGAGAGGGTTGCAGGTACACTACAGTAGGTAGGAAGGTACATTTGGTGCTGGGAGAACAGCCATCTCCCCTGCCTCTGACCATGAGCTTGGATCTGACCATACCGACAGTCTGGCCAGGATGCCCACCACCACAGGGTTACAAAGTAGGTCTTAATTCTCAGCTTTAGAAAACTTAGCCAAGCTGCTCCCTACAAGAACTGGTTGGAAGCTGGAATTAAGGAGGTGAAAAGAACAATCTAGCTTTTAAGCAAGATGCGGGCTCAGTGCTTTCCAGCTAAATATTCAACTCTCGGTCAGTGGTGGTTACGTGAAGGACACGGAAGTGAGGTGTGCCTGTCTTCCCAGAGTAAAACAGTGAGCAGGCTCCTAATGCTTTCCTGGGAAATAACTTCCCTCCAGAGAGCCACCGTGGCTCCCAGCATGGCTCTACCTTCAGCCCATGTCCCCTCAGCCCGGCCCCAACAGAGGACACAGCCCCCCGAGGGCAGGAACAACATGACTGCTCCCCGAGAAGTGAGGGGAAGCCAGCTTTTAATTATAGCTAACTGCGCTTCTGCTTGGCTTTTACTGCAGAGCCCGTCACCATGTACCTCCAGATGCTGATGGAAGTTGTACCACCAGAGGAGGCTCCAGAGGAACGGGCCCAGCCTCTGGGAGCCACATCCAAACCGCGATGAATTTATTTTTGTAAGCGATTATTTGTGGTTATTTCCTCCTGATGTTTTTCCTTAAGAAAAAAAATGTATTCAGATGTTCATACTATTGTTATTATTTGTAGACATCCTCATTTCTCTGGGTGGGGGCTCTAGAGAGAAGGACAGATGTTTGCTAAAGTTAGCAGGCGGAGATGTGGCGGCCAGGCTCAGCAGACAACGTGACCCACACCAGGACCCCTTACCAGGGGCAGGCATGTCACACCTACCTAAACTCAGTGATCAATAGGGCATATATATATATATATATATATATATATATATATATATATAAAGTATATATATTTTATATAAAATAGGTAAAACTTTTGCTTCAGTTGAAATAGATTTTTAGCAGACGAAAGTGCAAATGTTTTACTACCTGTCCCCCTCCCCCCGCCCGAAGTACTGAGCCCCTGTATTTTACCCTGGATGTACCAGGCGGGTCTAACCCAGGCTGACTGTCAAGGCTCCCACTGCAAAGCGGACCATCCAGAACCATCCACAGCCTGGTGCCCACAACAGGAACCACAATCTGGGGTAGGCCCCCCCGCACCCCACCCCACCCTTCACTGGCACTCGGGTCAAACTAGAAAGGGCGGTAGTGAATACAATTCTGTTTTGCATTTGGCACTCAGGGAAAATATGGTTTAAAAAAAAAAAGTGAACTGTCATTTCTGTGAAAACACAAATTTTATTGATATACTACAAAAGACCTTCACACCACGACTGACTGTGAGCAGTTCTAGAAGCATAGAGACAAACGTACTTTTATTTTGCATTTCAGAAATTTTCCCCAAACATGAAATCAATATGTATTAACAGAACAAAAAAAACTGGTATTTGTTTACATTTCACAAGTCACTGTCTCTGTCCTACAAAATGTTATTCAGAACTTCAAATGGTAAATTTAAATGTCTGAAACAAAGAGATCCAGATTTAAACATCTAGCCCAGCCTCCCACGATTCCCCTCGGGCTATTTGTGAACACTAGAGAAGCTGGACCCCGCCCCCCACCGATTTAGGCAGCTCTATCACTTACTCTTATTGTTTGCTATGTTTTACAAAAGAGAGTGAATATAAGTAGGTGGCCAGCAATCACGGGGCAAGCCAGCGCCGCTCAGGAGGCCTGGCCACCCATCCAGAGGCCTCCCCCAGTGGGAGCGCAGAAGCTCTACCTACAGGCACCTGCTGAGGACATTATAAGAGCTCCGCAGAGTCAAGCCTACCTCCGCCAGCAAACACCCCAGGACTTCCGACCTCCTGAAGAGCTGCCCAATTTAGCCCAGGAAAAGGACAATCACCCGGTACTTCGTGGGCCAATCTGACACCCGCCAAGCAGCCCACGGGAGTCCCAGCGGCAGCCACTCGGCTGCCCAGCCGTCCTCCCACCGGCAGCCTGGGGCCGGCCTCCCTCACAGCACCCCCGCCCCGAAAGGCGTCCAGGGGTGGCCCCCGGAGCAGGGCGAGGCCACGCAGTGAGCAGAAGATCTTATTTTACAGATGAGGAAACTGAGAGTCAGAGTGTGATCCCAACCTGCTCACGGGACAGCCTGGTAACAGTTTGTTCAAGCTGTGGCTTACCTACCGGGACCTCTGTGCTTTCTGACGTGTGACAATAAAGGTCTTGGGGGCAGTCCCAACGGTCACGCTTGGTCACCCTTCTTTCCGGCCTCTAGGCAAAGCGGCTGCCTCCTACTGAAGACAGACACAGGGCTGACATTTCGCTCCCCTCTGCAGCTCTTCTGGCTACCAGGGCAGGTCCGGCTCGGGGTGCTCCCGCCATCAGGGGGCCATGCCCAGAAGGCGTCCTGGGTGCTGCGAGCGCTCCCCACACCCAGCTGTTCTGAGGGTCGCCTCCAGGCGCCCTCCTACGTCCTCTTCCGTTGCCACCGAGGAGAAATCTTCGTCCTGAGTGCCCAGGACGCTGCAGGGCCAGGCAGGGCTTCAGAAGCAGCAGCTTTACCTCCAGAAGCCACGGGTCTGGCTGGTGACAGCCAAGGTGACCCCGCTCTCACCCCTGGTCGATCCGCAGGTCGCCCCCAGTCTCCCCAGAATACTGCAAGTACAGGTCCACAGGTCGTTCTGTTGAATCCCAACCAGCTCGGGGCAGAAAGCATGAAGCTGTAAGCCGGAAACCTCAATTTATATGCACAACACCAGGGTTTCGGCAAGGTACCAGCCAGGTCTCCGGGAAAAAGTGAACAGACTAGCTCCGGAAAGGACAAGTCATCCCCCAAATGGCACACTGTGCTCCCCGCCCCTCAGGGTGAGTGTGTTGGGACAGGCTCCGTGCGAGAGGCAGTGCAGGTGGACGCTGGGCCCCAGTCAGACCAGTGCCCACACCCCCCGAGTCCCTGCACCCCGTCTCTCACCAGTACCAATCCCAGTGCCCCAGGATGACGCCCGGTCAGAATGTATCCTTAAGTCAACGACAGGTCTGGCCGTGACTGCTTGTTTCCTGAGCTCCCAGCCGCACGACGTGTCCATCTGTCCGTGTGCAGTCTGGGCCACCCTTCCAGATCTGATTCGTGCTCATTCACTCTCACCTCCGTCATCCTCCGATGTCCGGTCACTGTTCTCAGCCACCTCTGCCACTTTGCACGGCAGGTTTTTAGAATTCACAACTACAAGAGTTCGATATTATTGAAAAATCTGTTAACTACAGACTCAGCACATCTCCCCCACCCCCTAACCCTGCCATTATTTTGGCCAATGCAGAAAAAGTCCCTTAGGTTCTAGAGCTCTATTTTGTGACTTCCTTTATATTTTCATTATTTTAGGCAAGAAATGAGCAGGTAAAATGTGCCTGCTTAGAAATTAATTATCCTCCTGGGAAGAAAATCTGTAGAAGTGTTGTAAGAAGGTATGCTTATAATTAAGAGTTGATGCCTCCCCAAACCAGAACATTTAGCACCAAGATTGGCCACAAGGAGAAAACCAATTCCTAAGGGCTTCACCGTTAACGACCCATTCCCCCAAGGGCCGCAGTCCTCAAACCATGGCACTCAGCACCTGCGACTCCCCAGGAAGTGGGCACACCCCACCTTACCCTGGGGGAACTGGCTGTCCTCTTCACCTTCTTCCCAGTGATCGAAATCAAAAGCCACATTAGGATTCTGTTCAACAGAACAGGTGACATTAAATGACAGACTAAGTCACGCTCGGGGCATTGAGACCAGCCACGGTCCATTTCCACTCACCCTCTGTTTGAGTAAGCTGCACCAAGATCCCCTGGTCTCTTTTGCAAGAGTGATCACAGGTTCCTCGTTTGTGATCGTGCATTTGCAGGCGTCTTTTGCTATGTTGGCCTGCAGCTCCATGTCAGCCAAGTAAAACTTCTCTCCCGCCCAGCCACTAGGTGTACAGAGAGAAAGGCCGGTCTTGGAACATGTTAGAAGTGATTTCAATTGTATGTCTACAAGACACACACAAACCTACCTGAAAATGACTCTATCTTGGAAATATTCACATTTGTAATCTTTCACGTTCCTTATTCTTATCTTCAGTATGACCACATCATCTTTTTGGAACCATTTTATCTGTGGGTGGAAGCTAGGAGAGAAGACGATGGCTTACGCGGGCGCAGGAAACATTCACTGGGGGGTGGGGGGAGGGGAGGGAAGCCGACCCTGGCCATGGGGGGACATACCTTTTCAGGGGCTCTGTGGTTCTGTGAAGGGGAGAATCACTTGTGTTTTCAGGTAAAGTTTCTGGGCAGAAAGTCAAATGTTCCAGTAAGTTATTTATACGTAACCGTATACTCCACGTACCTATCAGTACTTTCTCGCACTTCATGCAACTTTTAGTCGAGGAACTATTGACAAAGAGTATCAGTTTCCAAGTATCCACTCACAAAGAATAATTAGAAGAAATTAAAATGCACATTTAGTAGAATTAATAAAAACGGGCTCTGACAAATACTATAATTAAACCATCAGGTAAGTCAAATCACTCTGGAAGGGAGCAGTGTTACCACCGGCGGCCATCTTAACCTGCGAGGCCCAGAGATGCCCACCGGAGAAGGCATCTGGTCGCAGAGCTCTGTGAGGAACCAGTGCTGAGCATGACACTTCCTAAAACAACACCATTTGAACTTCTCCGTCTAAACCCCTGAATCTTCCATCTGAAGACTGGGCAAGAATGTTCACAGCAGCTTTAATCATCGTCAAAAACTGGGGGCGCCTGGGTGGCTCAGTCGTTGAGCGTCTGCCTTCGGCTCAGGTCATGATCCCGGGGTCCTGGGATCGAGCCCCACATCGGGCTCCCTGCTCAGCGGGAGGCCTGCTTCTCCCTCTCCCACTCCCCCTGCTTGTGTTCCTGCTCTCTCTCTCTGTCAAATAAAAAAAAAAAAAAAAATCATCGTCAAAAACTGAAAACAGCCTCAGTGTCTCTCAACAGGTGAACAGATAAATAACTTGGGGTGTGTTCAGATCACAGAATGGCACTCAGGGGTAAGAAGGTGCCACCACTCCTTGTAATCGCCTAGATGAATCTCAGACAGAATGCCGGGTGGGAGAGGCCCCCAGAGCGCACACTCTGTGCTGCTAATTCAGCGGAACTGATTGGCAATGGACGTCAGGATGGTGGTTCCTGGGAAAGGTTTCAGGCAGGGAAGATGTGGGAGGGAGATTCCTGGGGCTCTGGAAATGTTCAACCCACCTCATCTGGGTGCGGTCCATGGACACAGATACACATGTAAGTAATTCTGATGAGCTGTGTGTACTTCCCTGGATCAACATTATACCTCAATTAACAAAAAGGCAAAAGTCATTAAAAAAACACTGGAAGCTGAATTGTCAAAAACAGGAAGTTAGATAATACCAGTTTATGTCACCTTCTATCTAGAATTCATCTAAAAGTGGAAACCCTCAACATTGGAAAACTTCCAAGCTTTCATGATTTTAAGTGAGCCATGGTTTTTTTTTAAGATTTTTTTTTTTAAATTCATTTGGGGGGGGGAGAGGGGGAGAGAGAGAGAGAGCATGAGCAGGGGGAGGAGGGGCAGAGGCAGAAGCAGACTCCCTGCTCAGCAGGGAGCCCGATGCAGGGCTCGATCCCAGGACCCTGGGATCATGAGCTGAGCTGAAAGCAGACGCTTAGCCGACTGAGTCCCCCAGGCGCCCCTAAGTGAGCCATGTATTAAATCACCAACCATGCTTTTGGTTTTCTGGTTTTGTCCCGGAGTGGGAACCTCTTTCCGAGCCTCTGTCCTCCTGCTGTGGGCTCTGCGGACAAGCAGCATCTTCTGCTGGAGAAGGCGCCCTGGACGGAAGAGGTGAAGGTTAACTCGGAGTTGAAGAGACAGCAAACTCTGGCTCTCTATGGGGCCCTCCCAGCAAGAAGAGGAAGGCAGGCAGCCACGGACGGCCCAGACGGCGAGGTGCTTACCCCACCGTCAGACCTGCCCCAGGGTCAGGACTCAGGCCCGGAGGCCGGGCAGGGCCAGCAGCTCTGCTCACTGCTGTGCCCCTTGTGGCGAGCCCAGAGCAGATCATCGATCCATACTGGCCGATAAGTGCCTTAACTCATTCACCAAAAAATTCTCTTTCAAATCATTTAACTTTGAGAATAACCAGCCCTGCTACCCACTTCAAAATGGGTAAAAGGGGAGGAAGTAAAAGCATCTCTGCACCCCTGCCCTAGTCCCTCAGCTCCTCCTCCCCGAGACACCCCCTTACCAGTATGGGGCTACTTCTAGAAATGCGCTTTGCACAAACAAGCATATAATGCTATCTGTATCTAAAACACACATACACACCATTTACACACCTGGAAACGGCCTCCATTCACTTTTTTGCCCCTTTGATTATACTTAGTAACTAGAGATGGATTACTCCAGATCAGTACACAGAGGGCTGCCTCATTCTTTAAAATTTTTAATTTTTTTTTTTGAGCAGATAACCATTTTCATGTGGTTCAATGTTTTGAAATAAATGAAAAGGTCTTACACAGCAAAACATCTCCCTCACGTCTCTGTTCCCCAGCCACCCCACTGCCTTCCTCATGGGCGACAACGTAATTCATTTTTTGTGCATCCTTCAGAGATAATTCAAGCCTAAAGGAGCAAGCCCATGCAAACACATGCACGCACGCCTGTGTGCACACACACACACATCTATGGCGTGGGGGGTGTGCATGTGTGTCTCCAAGGGGACTTCTGGCCGACACACACAAAGCCTGTGAGTGGCACCCCACAAACCCCACAAATGGAGGCAGCATCTCGTTTCCAAACACCCAGGCAGGGGCCCCCCCCCAGGCCCTGTCCTCCCCACAGAGCAGCGCCACACCCTCCATCCCCCCTCTTCCACCACGGCTCCCTCTCCTTCACCAGACCCTCATCCACTGGGGTTCCGTCCCTCCTCGTCACACACTTCCCGAACAGTGGCTCTCCTCCGCTCCCAGCAAATGAGTCTTCCCCAGCAGCTTTCCTGAGCTCCGGGCTGATGTTTTCCATAATCTTTCAATCTGACGCGTCCCAAACCAACTTGCGATCTCCTCCTACCCAACCGGCACCGTGACACCATCCACCATGCCAATACCCTCCCCGCCCAGGGCTCAGTTCTACAATCACACCCCCGACGTCTGCCGGTCACCAAGCCCTATGGCTTCCAGAGCTTTCATGTCCCCAGGACCTGTCCTCTTTCCCAGCCTGCTGTAGGAATGGCACCCTTCTCCTCCTTCTGATCCACATTACCACCATGGCTTCCCCATCCAGCTCCTGAAATGGAGTCTCTGCTGGGCAGGCTCCATCTGTAGCACCTCGTTCACCGTCCTCTGCACGCCTGCCTTGTGTGTGTGCCCACAGGTGTGCCAGACTGCTGCACACGTGCAAAACTGAGCGTGCAGAGGGCCGAGCGCAGAACAGAGCCGGGGCTCAGGTGCAGCTGCTGTGTTCCACAGGAGTGGCCGAGCCTCGTGGTCATCAAATCTACTAAACTCTAACGACAGCTGTTTTTAAAAAAAAAAAAAAAAAAAAGCACGGAGCAACTTTTGTTTCCTGAAAGTGTGTAGAAACAGACGTTGTCTCCTAATCCCACGGGCATCAAAATTCATTAAGATAAAAATTAACAACTTCAGGTTCAAGTATTTTAACTTTTGCCATGTTCTTTGAAACTGCTGCGTTCATCAGTCACCAGGGGCCCCAGGCTGACCCCGTGGCTGTCTCGCCGTGCTCACTTGTCGGGCCTCCTGGCGGCGTGTGGCAGGCTCACAGCTCCCTGCTCCGGGACACCCCTCCTCACCTGCCCTCTGGGAGTCTGCCCTCCCTGGCCTCCTCTGACGCTGCTGCTCCTTCTCAGGCTCCCCTCTGGGGTCCCCTCAGCCACCCACCTCCCAACACTGGGCCCCCCGGGCTCAGCCCTCGGACTTTGACGCTCACTCCTTCGGGCTCTTATCCAGGTCCTGGCTGTCAGGACCCAGGACCTGCCAACGAGCCTCCATGAGACCACACCCCCCCCCCGACCTATATTCGGAAACCAGCTACTTCTGGCCACTTCCACAAAGCCGCCCCAGCCCAAGCCGCCAGCACCCTGTCCCGAGCTCTTGGCACAGCCTTTGTCCCCCACCCCGGGCTCTTCTCAACACAGTAGCCAAGGATCTTCTGACTAAGTCATTCCCCTGCGCAACATCTTCTCATGGCCCCCCTCCTCAGGGCGCGAGCCCACCACGGCTCGCAAATGGCCACGGGGCCCGACAAGACCCCACCTGGGTGGCTCCGACACGCGCACCTACAGGTCTTCCCGCGTTTCTGCTCTAGTCACAGCACCTTCCTCCCCGTTCCCGGAATCAAGGGATAACCGAGCGGGCTCTGTGACCGCCTCGTGGGGGATGCCAGGTACTTTTCCAGGGACTTCCAAGGTCTCTCACGTTTGGCTTGTGGAAGTGTCAAGTGGAACAACCGATCTGGAACACTACTGGGCACCAGCTCTAATGAGGACTCCACAGTTCCGTCCGTGCACCAAACACACGCAGGAGAACGTCGACTGTACCACCACCCGAAGGGGCCCAGGGCAGGGGAAACGTCTCCCCTCAGCAGCAGAATGGGTAAATGGTACATTTATGGTACATTCACATGATGGAGTCTTATGCAGCAGTAAGGACTTATGATCTGCAGCCACACGCACACCACGGATGAATCTCGCAAACTGTGCCAAACTCAGGAAGCCAGAGAGGAGAGCCGCACTGCTTCATTCCTGTCAGACACGGTACAACCCAGGGAGAGGAGTCCATGCTCTCCAATCAGGACAGCGGTTGCCCTCGGGGAGGGAGCGGCAGGAGGCGGGGCTGATCGTGCCCGCTTTCTGGTCCGGGGTTGGTTTCTGTCCTCAGAAAATCCACTGGCCTATACTTACAGTGTATAGACTTTTCTGTATGTCAATCAACAGCTAACAAAAACTTACTCTGTGAGAGATACAGGTGAAACAATACTCTTGGGATTGGTTTTATAACATTCCACCAAAAACAAAACTATACATTGGGGTATGGATAAAATCAGATTCCCCAAATCTGAGAAATCATCGAAGCTGAGTGACGGAAACATGGAGTAATCCATTCAACCTCCAAATAAAAAAAAAAAGTCTCTAAGCTCCTGAGTTCTATTCCTACAAAACTGCACTTCCAAACGGGAGACAAAACCCCACTTACAGGGCCTGGCTCAGGCTTTCTTCATCAGGTGGCATTTTAGCTCCTTCGTGTAACGTCTTCAGCTGTTCCATATGCTCCGAGTTGTCAATGCCCATTCCCATCGACAAAATTTCAGTACGAACATTATAATCAATAACAGAGGTCTTCAAATTTGAAAGTTTGGTAATGTGCACCTTGAATCAAAGAAAAAGTCTATTTGCAGGAATCAGGCTTTGAACTTTCAAATCAATGGAAAATGCTCGTGTGACCTCGCGATCTCACTGTCACGCTGGGCGCTCCCGGGCCTCCCTCAGTGGCTTCCAGCTGATTTCGTAACTGAGGTGACACGTGAGATTCTTCCAGAGCCCACTCCCACACTACAGAAGTACGATGAGGGCTGGGGTTGGGGGGTCCCTGTAAATGCTTGGACCACACACAAAATTCTTAGATCTTTCTAACTTTTTATCTCTCTTAACAAGGAGGACCCTAAGGCTCAGAGACGTCGGTGCCCAGAAAGGACCTACACCATGGCCCTAAATCCTGTGCTCTGAGCAGTTTCCTCCACTGGTTTTCTTTTGCAACCAAAATATTCTCATCCATCTTAATTTACACAAACTATGAGGTTTTGCAACACTGAGATTCCTGTCGATGGGAGATGCAGACCCAGGACTGGGACTGGGCATCCCCTTCATGGCGGCGGTGGGCGGGGGTAGCCAGGACAAGACCAGCTGGGGCACCTTCCTAAGGGAACACCAGGAATGTGTTCCCATCTGGGAATGGCAGAAGAGCCTTTCTCCACTCAAACTGGGGGCTGAGTGGTCTGGGGAGAGAAGGAAGTGTATGGGGGTCTGTCTCCCCTCCACCATGCCATGGACACCACTACATGAGCTGTGGGAGCAGAATGCCAGGTGGATTTCTTTTTTTTTGCTTCTTCATTTCCTTAGCTATTGTCTTAAAAATCTCTTAATAAAGTTTCCATTTTGGGGGCATCTGAGTGGCTCAGTCAGTTAAGTGACTGCCTTCGGCTCAGGTCACGATCCCAGGGTCCTGAGATCAAGCCCCGCATCGGGCTCCCTGCTCAGTGGGGAATCTGCTCCTCCCTCTCCTGCTCCCCCTGCTTGTGTTCCCTCTTTGTCAAATAAATAAATAAAATCTTTAAAAAAAAGTTTACATTTTTTTCTCCAATTAAGAACCAGAATACTGGCTATTATGTAAACCAAGACGCCAAATCTTCATTTGACCTGTATTGGTAATCTTTACCTTCTCTATTAAAAATCACTGTCTCCTCTGAACTCTTAAATCTTACACCCAAACTCCTCTTTTTAGGTGTTAAGGCTTTTCCAGTCTCGTAAAAATAACTTTCAGCAGAACGATTTTATGAACCGAATTCTTTTAAATGTTATACACATACTGATTAAGATTTAAGTCCAGTGGAGAACTTCAGATTGAAAAGCAGAGTTCTTGGGGTACGAGCAGTCAGAGGGGGTGATGCTAGCATCGGAGGGGATGCAGGGAGGCCCCACTTACAGGTCCTGGTCTGACACTCAGCCCTGCCCACCACTGTGGCAACTCCACAAAGTAGGAGTTTCTGTTCATGGGCAGAAGCCAAGTGTCCCACACCGGACCTAGCACAGAATGGGTGCTCGATAAATATTTGGTGAAGGAATATACGATTCAAGCAACAAATCAGAATTTTAGGGGTCCATCCAAAAACAGATTTAAGAAAACCACATGCTCAGGGCGCCGGGTGGCTCAGTTGGTTAAGCGTCGGCTCAGGTCATGATCCCCGGATCCTGGGATCGAGCACCACGTTGGGCTCCCTGCTCAGTGGGAAGCCTGCTTCTCCCTCTCCCCCCCACCCCAAGTATATAAAATCTTTTTAAAAAAAGAAAACTGCATACTCACCATTGGATCAATCCACACTGTATTTCCTAAAGCCAACATCACTTTGGCATCATGTAATTTTCCAATAATTTTATGATGAATGTACCTAGTAACCTAAAAAAAAACCACTTAGGTAATTTCTCTGAAGTTTTAGGAAAATATCTTACTCTGTTTATGCTGTATAGCTTTGCAAAAAACGTCTCCATGCTTCGCTTGAGCCTTACCCCCACCCCATGAGGCAGGTTACAGAGGCCCTCGTGCCCCTGCATGGACAAGGGTAATGAACAGGGGAGCTGAATAAGGACAGAGGCAAATGGCACCTCTGGACCCCCCAAGCTGCATGTTCCCCATTGCGGCCATGTGTCCTAGCTCTCCTCTGTGAACAACAAGTGTGTCTTTGGAAGTTCACTGAGCCTGAAGAGACCCTGGAGCTGAGGGGCCCCGGGCTTCTGTGTACCCTGTCCCGAGCACGTGGCTGATATTTGTCTCAAGCAGGGCCCCAGCAGACCTGACGTGCCGGACTACTCCTTCAGGCCCATTTCCACTCCTGTAAAGCAGACAGGAGGGAGCTGGCTCATCAAGATTAGACTGCTTCCATCCCCCTTGAACCTTGCACAGTCATTTGAAAGAATATGCATGGGAGAAACCTCCCCCTTTTTCTGGAGGCCCCTCTTCAAGAAATACTTGTGGTTGATCGTCCTGACAGACCAAAGGTTTCTTGAAGACAAGAACCATGACCTTCTTGCTAATGGCTACGTCCCCAGAGCCCAATGGCACCAGCCCACAGTGGATACTCTTAAATACTTTGCAGAAGGAAAAAGACCACTACTTAATATGGAGTATTTTTACTGAACCTCCAACAGTAGTGTTGTGTGGTCATCCTGTATTGTGAAAACACTCACCTGTTTATTCCCTGGGCTGTGTCCAACCTTGTTTATAACCCAAACTGTTTTTACTTTGCCAGATACAATGGCTTATTTCATGTCCTATTAATTGGATTATATGAAATTTAACCCTCCTTTGAAGAATCAAGCGCATCGTTAGGAAGAAGACTCACTGCTCTGCTGATGAGCGGGACCAGCTGTCTGGCGAGCCACGGGAGCCCACCTGGGACGGCCCTTTCGTGTACCGTGTGTTCTCTCCACCTTCAGTGCCTCATCTGGTCTACGTGGGGACATCCTAACGACTCTTACTGAAGGGCCCAGAGGAAATGCCCTTCCTGTGCTCTCTTTCCTTGCCCGCCCTCCCAACCCCAGGGGAATGAGCTGGCCTCTGCCTCCATTTGATGGGGGTACCCACTTGGGGCTCACACTGTTTCCTGCCAAGCTGACAGCCAACTTATTTCATCATGATGCGCAGCTTATACCAATTCTAAGGCTGTGAGCACTAATGATGATGACGACCACCCGGAGGAGGGTCTTTAACTGTCAGGAACCATGAGGCATCTTAGTCAAACTCAGTACTCTAAATTTGAATAAACCTTGATTCTGTGTATATTCTGAAAGTCAACAAAGTACAAAAAGCCAAAATAACTTAACCTTTGGATTCCACTCAACTTCATTGTCAGCAGGTTTCACTCTGCAAACAATGAACTCCACCGCCTGGGGGGGCAGAGTGTGGAAATTTTCCGGAAGATGCAGCAGTTGGTCCCTCGTGACGAGTCCAGTCCGGCCTTCATCTATAAACTTCACAAGGACACTGTCCGGACCCCAGGTGTCTTCTTTTTGGCTCAGCTCCAGCACCTCAACCCTGGAGAACAACCGTAGCTTCGGAGTAACACAGAGATCCCAAAGGAAAATCATCTTTGCCTCCCCACCTACTCATTAAATCCAGGAAGACTCTAAACTGCAAGGTTCTTTTCCATACTAGAAATAAAAATTAGCTCGCGCCCTCAAGAACACTCAGAATGGCTTATTCAAGTATACAGATTATAAAGAATGCGTACTACCTTTGACTAGAGTAAATCCCTTTATCGGACAACACGATGAAAATCAACTCAGTCAAGGGAAGTTTCCACGTTTCATGGTTGAGCCTACCCCGAGCGGAGCCGGGAGCGGCACGGGAACACCGACCGCACAGCCTACGTCATCCGGCCACGGCTCAGCCTGCTCATGTGCGAGAGGGGACCCCATCTCACGGCAATCACGTGAGCGTGGAGTGAGGTGGAGGCGTCTATGTAGGTGGCACAGGGACGGCTCTGGAAGCGTGACACCGTCTTCCGTGCCCTGTGCTCAGGAGCCAGGAGCCCAGGGTCAGGGGGGTGTCAGGTGCAGAACCGCGCCGGGCGGCTGGGGGGACGCAACGCTGCCACCCCCCACTCTGGGGCCAGGCCACGTCCGTGCACACCGGGGCAGACGGACACGGGTACAAACAGGGATTCGATACCACTGAAAGGTGCCTCCTGTTTCACAACTCTTAAGATGAAATACATAGACCTTTTACCTGTGATAAAGTGTTTTTTCTGCTAATCCATATAATCCGAGTTTCTCCACCTTTTCAACAGTCGTTTTATTGCTGTTACCCTTAAAATACTCATTCATTTCAGCATTAAGAGTTGCATAAAGATCCACTTGTTTATCAATTATACGACCAAAATAATGCGTTGCATTCGAAATATAAAAGGGTATTATCTGAAAAATAATCAGCAAACATATTCAGAAAACAAACTCAATCTAAACCAAAAAGCTATCTGCAGAATCAGCCCCTGACCTAAGAGCCCAAAGTGCGCCGACAGGGACGGAACATGAACCAGGAAACGCCGACACACGACAGAACCTTCCTGTACCTACAGAGGACCGCGGTTTCCCTTTAAATCTAAGGGAAAACTTTGTTAATCTTATTATTTTAAAACTTTATTATTGTGTTTGTTTACTCCATAACTGCACTTTATAAAAATCATTCTTAAACAGCATCCCTGTCTCTTGAGCTCTTTCTGATCTTTGTTCCCGTAACAAGCAGTATTTCGTGTAGGAGGCGCTAGGGATAGGAGGTAAGCCACGTCCTACGGACAGATGGGCCGCAGCTAGCGTGTGGTCAAAGAAGACAACTCCTCACAGGCAAGGGTCTGCAGGGTGGTTGGTGTGCGAGGGGCAATGTCGGCGTGCACGTGCGTCAGCAAGAGCACGGAGAAGGCACTGCAGACCCGGAACAGTCTGCGTGAAGGCGGGGAGTGGTGGGCTGCCCCAGCAGAGGCCAGGACAGAGGAGTCACCTGTGGGAAGGCAGAGGGGGCAGTGCTGAGTGGGAGGCAAGCAGGCTAGAAGGCAGGGGTGAGGTCAGCCCTGGTGATCAACCTCACAGGCTGACAGCCCCTAGCTCTCCTCTGTGGCACCCCTGAGCCCCCATGCTTGCTGTCCCCCCCAGTCTCACCGCCAATGAGCTCTGCCCTGTGCCACAACACGCCATGTTATCTGCTTCCTCTCCCCGGAACAGTCTTCCCCAGGTTTTCCACGGCCGGGTCCTTATCCTTGGGCCCTCGGTGCAGCTGACCCCTCAGAGAATGTTTCCCTGCCCATAATCCGCACAGGCCCTCTGGTACTTTGGTGCATTTCACCTTCTCCAGAGCACTTGTCACCATCTTTCCCACTCACCTGTTCCAGAAAAACCCCCACAATGTGCCCACAAAACCCCCAGTCCTGGGCATACAGGGTTTTTTTCCAGCCATACCGCCCCCCCAGGCCCCAACTGTTTTGACTCCACTCTCACGAGCAGTCCTGTACATAACTAATTCACTCTGTTACAGTCACAGGATATGAGATGAGGACATAAAAATCAATGGCATTTCTAAACAATCAGAAAACGAAGTTCAAAGAAAAGTAACATTAGCATCTAAAAACATGAAATGCCAGGAATAAAGTTAACACAGTAAGGACAAGATCAGTCTACTGAAAAGTGTAACACATTGCTTAGAGAAATTAAAGGTGACCTAGATGAAGTGACAGATATACCATATTAATGGACAAGACTCAGTATTGTTTTGTTTTGTTTTTAAAGATTTTATTTATTTGACAGAGAGAGATACAGCGAGAGAGGGAACAGAAGCAGGGGGAATGGGAGAGGGAGAAGCAGGCTTCCCGCCGAGCAGGGAGCCCGATGCGGGGCTCGATCCCAGGACCCTGGGATCATGACCTGAGCCGAAGGCAGACGCTTAACGACTGAGCCACCCAGGTGCCCCAAGACTTGGTATTGTTAAAATGTCAATTCTTCCATATCAATCTACATACTCAACGCAATGCCAGTCAAAATCCCATCATCAGGCTTCTAAGTACAAACTAGCAAGCTGATTCTAAAATTCTCTATGGATATGCAAAGGAATAGTCAGAAGAATACTGAAGAAGATGGGCAAATTGGAAGGCATCCCTACCAGTCTCCAGGATTACTTACAAAGCCACAGCAATCAAGCCAATGTGGTACCACATGAGGGTAGACAAAGACCAAGGAATAGAATGAAGAATTCAGAATTCACAAATATTGTCTTTTAATTTATGTCAAAGGTGCCAATGTAATTAAGGGCAAAAGGAAGGTCTTTATAATAGATGATGCTGGAGCAACCAATTATCCATACGGAAAAAATTTGCTCCTTACCCACACCACACATACGCAAAAATTAATTTGAAATGGATCACAGACCTAAATGTAAAACCATAAAACTTCTAGAATAAAAAAAATAAGAGGAATCTTTGCAACCTTAGGAGAGGCAAAGATTTCTTATGGCATGAAAAGCACAAAACATAAAATAAAAAAGTGATAAAGAAGACTTCATCAAAATTAAAAACTTCCACTTTTCAACTGAGGGAAAATATTTGCAATATATCTGACAAAGCATATCCATAAGCTACAAAGAACTCTTAAAACTCAACAAGACAACCCAAATTAAAAAAATGGGCAGAAACTGTGAACAGAGAGTTCATAAAAGAGATACAAAGGGCTAAATAAACAGTGAAAAGGGGTCCAAGATTCTTTATCACCACAGAAATGCAAATAAGTATCCTTGCAAGTGCAACAGAGTGGCAAAAATTAAAGACTGAGAACACCACGTACTGAGGATGTGGACCACTGGCACTCTCATATGCAGCACTGGTGAAAATGTAAAATGGTACAAATTGTTTGGCAGATTCTTACACACAGTTACCCTATGACACAGCATTTCCACTACATCTCACCCAAGAGAAATGAAGATGTAGGTCTGAAAAGACTTGTAATCCAGAAGCTCAGAGCATCCAGAAACTGCAAACAACCCAAATGTCCATCAACTTGTGAAGAGACGGACAAACTATGGCACATCAACATAACGGAATCCTGCTCAACTATGAGAAAGACTACACAGGTGAATCTCAGAAGCAATACGCTATTACATAACAGAAATCAGACTCAAAAGATTACATAGTGTATGATTCCATTAATATGAAAATCTAGTAAAGACAGAGCTCTAGTGGCAGAAAGCAGGTCCGGTGGCTGCCGGGAGTGGGGGTTGGGATGAGGACTGACTGCAGGGGACCAGGAGAGACCTTTTTAGGGTCATGAAAATGTTCATATCTTCATTGTGATGGTGGATACACGATTGTATGTATTTATCCAAACTCAACAAACTATACACTTCTAAATAGTGACTTTTATTGTATGTAAACTGTACCTCAATACAGCTAATTAGAAGTGGGGGTCTGGTTAGACAGGGTCTGGGAAGGTGGCAGCAGCAAAGTGTCATATGTTTTGACTCTCTCTGAATCTCCACATAAACACAGAGCAATGAGATGGCAAAACCAAATACCAGGGATATACTTTGCTACAGAACTAATTGGCAAAATATCACCACAGACCCCCAAATAAAAGCATATGAGGAAAATAACAAAAGAGAAAATCGAGGTGACCTTGGGTTTCATGATGAGCCTGTGGATAGGCCAAAAGCACAATCCATGAACGAAACAATTGGAAAGCTGGACGTCATTAAAATTAAAAACTTGTGCTCTGCAAGACTATAAGGAGAACAAAAAGACAAGCCACAGACTGGGAGACAGTTTTTGCAAAACATATTTCTGATAAAGGACTGGTGTCCAAAATCTACAAAGAACTCTTAAAATGCAACAATAAGAAAACAGACGAACCAATTGAAACACGGGCAAAAAAACCTGGACAACTCACCAAAGAAGACATATGGGTGACAAATAAGCACATGAAAAGATGCGCAACATCATCAGGGAATTCCAAATTAAAACAGTGAGACACCACTACACACCTACTAGAACAGCTAGAATCCAAAACACCGACAACAGCAAATACTGGCGAGGGCAGGAGCGCCAGGAGCTCTCACTCTTTGCCGGCTGGAATGCAAACGGAGCAAAATAGTCTCACCGTACAATCCAACGATCACACTCCTTGGTACTACCCAAGTTGAGTTGAAAACTCATGCGTCCACAAAAACCGCCACATGAATATTTCCCATAGCCTTAGGGTTCATAATTGCCAAAACTCGGAAGCAACCAAGATGCCCCTCAATAGGTGAATGGATAAACTGGTATATTCAGCAATAAAAAATGACCTACAAAGACAAGAAGATGTGGAGGAACCTCAAATGCATATTGCTAAATGAAAGAAACCAGTTTAAAAAACCTATATATTGTATAGTTCCAATTCTATGACATTCTGGAAAAGGCGAAATAATGGGACGGTGAAGTATCGGTGACAACCAGGAGTTCCAGGGAAGAGGGGAAGGGTGGAGCATGGGGGATTTTCGAGCAGTGTTAAGAATTATGTGATACCGTCACAGTGGAGAGGTGTCACTACCCATTTGGCAAAATCCCCAGAATGTGCACTACAGGGAGTGAATCTCAATGTAAACTACAGACTTCAGTTAATAATAACATATCAATATTGGTTCATCAACTGTCACTCATGCACCACACTAATGCAAGATGTTAATAATAGGGGGAAGTTTTGGCGGGGATGGTAGAGGGAACTCTGTATTTTCTGCTCAAATTTTCTATAAGCCTAAACTGTTCTAAAAAATAAGTATCAGGTAATTTAAACAACAACAATAACAAAACAGCAGATGAACAAAACCCAGCCAGATCACAAAGCCTGCATGGTGTCACTACCTGATGGAGCCAAACACAGGAGAAGTCTGTGAGTGGCAACAGGTACTCACTGGAAACACGGGGCTGGGGGTGGGGCAGGGGACAAGAGCAGCTGAGCCTGGAGGCTTTCATGCACTCCAACAACGGGCAAAGCCTGGAGCCCCGTGGAGTCTCGAACTGTCCAGCCAAAGACACCAGATATGAGGGAAGAGAAGGGCCAGACGCAAGTGGGGGAGGGAAACGGGGCCAGAAAATCTTAACAATCTCAGAAACGATGTCTCCTAGTTTTTTTTTTATAAGAAACGGAAACGAGAACTCTGAAATTATAAGTCACCCTGATCCACACCTCCTTCTAAAATGTAAGGAAAATGTATTTTATCTAAAAAGGAGCCGTAGCAAAGTATCAAAGTCAGATCCCATATTAAATCATAACAAAAAAGAGAATAAGGAGAGTAACAGTCCCTATAGATAATGAGAGCCACCAGGAAAGATGTATCCACAAGACAAACCAAAACTGTACCTCTCCATTTCAAAACAAGCTACCTATCCTCCCGTTCATTAAGAAAATAATAGGGCACTTGGCTGCCTCAGTGGAGCATGTGACTCTTGATCTCAGGGTTGTGAGTTCAAGCCTCATGTTGGGAATAGAGATTACTTAAAAAAAATCTTAAAAAAATAATATATAAAAGAGATACATATATGATAAATGATAGGTACAAAAGAACAACCTAAATTAAAAAAAAAAAAAAACTCAAAGGAGGCGACAGAAGTAGGAAGAAAGAATGGTGCAAATGAGAACAGATCTGCCTTAGGAAAAAGGGAAGGCAGAAAGGAGAGCAATCTTGAACTCAAGAAGAAAGGAAGAAATATTAAAAAGGATTCAAAAGAAAGTGACACACTCTTAACTCAGTAATTTTATCTACATTTCAGAATTTTCCTCAAAGGAATAATCATGGATGTTTTGAAAATATGTGCTATCACTGCATTATTTTTAATGGTCCCCATCCCCAGATGGAAATAACTTTCTGAAAATACAACTAAAAAGCCTCTTAACCATTGAAGTGGTTTATCTATTTTCCCAATTTGACTTTGGTTTTCTAAATAAACTGGGGTATTGAATTAAGGCACCTTATAAGGATCCATGCCTATTGTCAGATTAATGGTGGTTCATTAAGAGTGTCATAATTATTCCGCTGCTTTAGAATGAAGCATGTTAAGGGATGCTTAGGTGCTCAGTCGGTTGAGTGGCCAGCTCTTGGTTTCGACTTAGGTCATGATCTCAGGATTCTGGGACTTAGCCCTGTGTCAGGCTCCACACTCAGCAGGGGGATCTGCTTGAGGATTCCCTCTCCCTCTCCCTCTGCCTCTCTCCACCCCACACTCATGTGCTCACACACTCGCTCACTCTCAAATAAAGCAATCTAAAAGAAAAAAAATGAAATACATTCATTAAAATGATCATTAATCATTAAACAAAGTGCAGCAGAACGTACTTTGATGTATCCAAATGTTGGCAGAGTTTGATTGGATAATTTCCTTGGCATATCTATTTCTGGATTAACACGGTGTCTATCAGGACAGATCCTTTTGTCTCTGAAAAAAAGTAACTGGATTTTAAAAACAAAAACAATACTTTTTAACATGAATTTCAAACTGTTCTTCAGGAAAATTAATCTATAATTGAAATCAGAGGACCTTTATTCTAAATACTTTAAAGTAACCATATTAAATAATTCAGATGACACAACATGCACCTTAGTGAAAAGAGGTCCTAAAATTTAATTAACACTGAATAAACTTAAAGAGTTACTTCATTATTTCTCTAGACATTCTGAAAATGAACAAAATGTACTTCCAAAATAAAGACTCTGAATCAGAAATTTATCACCACAACCCAAAACAAAGGCTAATAATTAACTTCTAAACCAGAAGTCATTCTGTAACCCAAATTGAGAAACAGTTAAAGCTTTGGTTTCAAAAGTCAACAGCATAATCAAAATCGCCACTAATAACCTGTTTAATGTACCATAGTTCAAAAAAGTTAAAGTCAACAGTTATCTTAAAATGAAGCTCAATCCAATCGATACACATCAGACATCTCCTACCCAGTCCCAGCAATCACTGATCAAGTACTGGCATCATGTCTGGATCAGTGAGAAGGCCCCCCATAACTGTTGAGATATCCATGCTCTCCAAACTGATTTATAGTATCAATGCACATGCTATCAAAAGTCAGGTAGTGTTCCTGAGGAAACTGACAAGCCTATTCCAAAATGTATGTGGAGATGCAGTTGACTTAAAATAGCCAAAACCACCTTGATGAAGAGCAAAGTTGGAGAACTTACATACCAGATTCCAGGACTCACTAGAACATAAGCTACAGTGAGAAAATTCAGTACCAGTGTAAGGACAAAGAGACCAAAATAACAGAGAGTCCACGTGTGGATCTCATACACTGGTTTATGTAGTGGTCATAAACATCATCTGGTTTATGTCAAAGGCACAAATTCAGGGAGAACACAGTGATGTTTTACTTTTTTTTTTTTAAGATTTTATTTATTTATTTGAGAGAGAGAAAGAGAGAGAGAGAGCATGAGGGGGGGAGGGGTCAGAGGGAGAAGCAGACTCCCTGCTGAGCAGGGAGCCCGATGTGGGACTCGATCCCGGGACTCCGGGATCATGACCCGAGCTGAAGGCAGTCGCTCAACCAACTGAGCCACCCAGGCGCCTGAACACAGTGATGTTTTAAATAAAGGATACCGGAGCAAGTGATTATCCACACAGGAAAAAGTAATCCTTGCCCCATATCTCACACTGTACACAAACATTAACTCACCCTAGATTATACACCGAAGTGTGAAAACAGTCTATAAAGCTTCTAGAAGAAAACAGAGAAGAGTGTCTTCATGACCTAGAGATCAGCAAGTATTTCTTACATTAGGACACAAAATAACATCAACCAGGAAATACGTCATCAAAGTTAAAAAGGTCTGCTCCTCAAAAGATTCTTACAAGAGCAGAAAGGCAAGCCATGGACTGGGAAGAGATCTTCTCTAGGCACATCTCTGACAAAGCAGTTATATCCAGAAGGAATAAAGTACTCCCACAAACCAATAAGAAAAAGGGTAACACCCAATGTCAAAAATGGGCAAAAGACCTGAACAGGCACCTCACAAGAAGAGGCTGGTCAAATGTCCCACAGGCAGGCATGTGAAAAGACACTCATCATTAATCACTCGGGAAATACAGATGGAAACCACGGTGTGACACTCCCCCAGCTATGTCAGGGAGGGTATGGAGCCACTCAGCTCTCGCATAGAGGGCTGATGGGATTGTGAAACAGTCACACACCTCCGAAAAGTTACATGTGTGCTCACCCCGTGACCCAGCAATCCCATGCCAAAGTCTAGCTTCCAAGGAAGCCAGTGCATGTTTCCACAAAAAGACACGTGCAAGAGTGTTCACAGCAGCTTCATACATAATAGCCAAAAGCTGGAAACAATTCACAGGCCCATCAACAGGAGAATAAATACATACACTGTGATGTATTTATACAACAGAATACTGTGCCACTGAATAGATAAATCCACCTATCGGATCCATGCAGGAACACAGATGAATGTCACAAACAGTAGGCTGAATGTACAATTCCATTTATATAAAGTTGGAAAATGAGCAAAATTCATCAACGTGGATAGACAGTGGGGGGCGGTTACTTCTAGGGGGAGGGCAGATTGGGAAGGAGCATGGGGGCAGCTCTAGGGTGTCTCCCAGAGGCGGGTGGTGGTGTGAAATGTGCGTACATACGTGAAGGTCACCCAGCAATAAACTATCACTGTGCCCTTTACTGTACATTCCAATTTTTTAAAAGATGACTGGCTTACTTGCAAAAACCAAAAGCCTTAAGATACGGACAAAGAGGCCTTCTGGCTTTTTTATCTTCTTTGGCTTCCAGAACCCCTGCAGTAAACTCATACAGCTCTGAGGGAATCTTGGCATCTGCCCGCTCCAGGTAGCGCAGGACGCCGACCGCGTGGCACGCGTTCCTCTCTGTCAGCAGCAAGACGGATTTGGTCTTCTTATCTCCCTGTTCTGCAGGAGAACCCTTAAAATCGGGAGTGAATAAAGGCAACAGGTCATCCATCCCAGTCTAAATGACAAAACTTTGTGGACTCTGAATTTGTCATTGCACAGATAATGCCAGTAGAATATTTAAAGATCAAAAAAGTTCATCAAACCTGCTCGGTGGAACTCTGAAAATGATCAGACATGCAGTACAGGCGTCCACCAAAGATTCTGGGTGAGGAAGGAAAGCTGAAGTGAATCACACACGTGGCATCGGTGATGGTCAAGAGCGGTATGCAATCATCTGTTAAGGCTGGAGAGAAGGATCCGACAGTCACAAACGAGGCTGTTGTTTTCCTGCACTTACTACAGAACAATTCCGGGAACCGGACTTGAACACGGTTCTCTACTGCATCTCACTTTTTAGATGCCAACAAACTTCTTCCCCATTTTTTTCCCCAAAATGTCATAGCCCAGTGATGACATTCCAGAGAAAAGTGGTCTCCCTAATATTAGCTTGGAAAACACTTCTATTACAAATCTAGGCTGCCCATCAATCTTTCACTTATTTCATACATTTTTGACTTTTCGATCTCTAACATCATATTTCACAACCATCTGTGACAGATTTCATCATAGGCACGCCATGTTTATGTTCCGGCTGGAACCCCAGGGAGAAGGCCTACACTCAGAGCTCCGCAGGTCCCTGCCTTCACCTCGACACCAAGATCTTGGCAGAGTTTAACCTTCATTTTGAAATTAACATTACTAATAAATTCTCAGTAAATCTGGGAAATGATGAGAAATTGGGAGACAAGCTATACAGAATAAACTGACGACATGATTCTTATTAGCTCAGCCTTCTCTAAATGGAAGTAGAAATTAAAACACTTACCTAATACAATGTGAGAGCCAGAACTTAACTTCTTCTTCCACTGTTCTAAAACACTTTTTAAATTAAAAACCATTTCTTTATGCATTTTCAAGCAAAATATTGAACTGCTTTCTACTACCTAAAGATGAAACCAAATAGGCCAGTTCACAGTCAGGAACATAAGCTTGAAGTTAATTGTTCCATCAATAATTATCAGTATAAAACATTTAAAATTATCTGTGAGGGTATTACCTCATTGATCCACAAATTGTAAGAACAAGATGATTGTAAACTGAAACAAATATATTTCTAAAATTCTATACTTTGTATCTAAAAACTTGCTTAAGTGAAAAATATTTTGCTAAAACTATTTTCCTTTTTAAATAATGGGTGTATACACAGATGTGTGCATATATACATACACACACACACATCAAATTTATGTGCCAATGTGTCACATTTTTTCATGACACCTCTAGCTCATCATTGCTGAAAGATGGATGTACTACTGATTCTTATATTTTTAAAATTTTTTTATAGAACCTTTTTTTTAAAAGATTTATTTATTTGAGAGAGAGCATGTGGGGGGGGGGGCAAAGGGAGAGGGAGAGAGAATCCCATGCAGACTCCCCATGAGCATGGAGCCTGCCGTGCGGCTCAATCTCAGGACCTGAGCCAAAACCAAGAGTTGGAAGCCTAACTGACTGCACTACCCAGGCGCTCCTGATTCTTACATTTTAATTTGTATTTGTCTTCATTTCTACATTTTACTATTTATGTAGATTTAGATTAAATAAATCTGTAGCCAATTTAGTTGGCTTTTCTGGCCACGTGATCTATCTCTTGGTGTTACGGTCTCTACTTTTTTAAAGAGGGTACAGAGGTCCCTGGCATTTCTTTATGAATGGGATCCTTTTAATGACAAAACACAGAGCACTGGTCCCTTGGGGAAACATCTGCTTCCTCGGAAAGGCTGGTCCCACCTACTTGGCTCCTCCCTCAAGGTCAGGCCTCCTGCTGTCCTGCCTCATTGTTATGCATGCTCCACAGCACTAGCCACCCCTTCCTTCAGACTGTTGATCAGTTTGTAACGTTTTATCCCCTGTTAAATATTTAACTACCGACATTTAGTCATGGTTTAAACAAACAGTAAGGACATTTATGGGCTCACCTTACACACTATTTCTGTTTCAGCTACAGAACCGGTGAAGATCAAGGTCTTTTGTGCTTGACTTGGAATGAAATCTAAAGTCTGGAGTAAAGTAGAGGTTTTTTCACATTCTAGGCAAAGGTGTACTACCTGGTAATGAAATACAGCAACAGTGTGGTTTTAAATGGTGCTCCAGTTTCACTTTTCATCGCTAAGTGAGGATCTTAACACCAAAGTGTACAGAAAATCAATATAAATCTAAATACACGATTACAGATTTTTGTATGAGATTAAAGCTGTAACGGTTTAGGAGGAGGCCATGAATCACGGCCCCTCATTTGTGTTCGTCAGCCCCCACCTCCCACTGGCCCGTGAGCCTGCACCTGCTGGACGCTGCCATAGAGAGCGGCCTCTTCCACGGCTGTGACCACGATGTAGGGGTCGTTCATGAACCCTCCGACCAGCTGCTCTATATGTCTGCTCCAGTGAACGCCGACCGCAACAATCTGATGTGGTGCAGATTCCCTTTCTTCAACATCAATATTTTTTTTAAAGTTATCTAATATAGCAAACATCTAAAAAAATTAGTATAATTAATTTCGTTTTTATTTCAGAAGGGAGTAATAACTGGCTGACAGAACATGAAAGGTAAAGAATTGTACATTTTCTGTTCTCAGAGTGGGGGAAGGTGTTTCCAAACAAAAGAAAAAAAAAACTAAAAAGGAAAGAATGTTAAATATAAACAAAACACAAACAATAGGTGAACGTGGAACATTATGTAACGAAGCATTAACATCCTTATATTAAAAAGTTCTACAAACAGACTAGAAAAAGATGATCCTGCCAACAGAAAATAAGCAAAGAAAATGAACAAGCAGCTCAGAGAACAGTTCGAGTGGCCAGTACAAAGGCTTGGCCTGACAAGTAATCAAGGAAATGTACGATGCTAACGAGATGCCACGTTTAACAAGCCCACAAGAAACGGAAGCCGGCCTAAGGCCTCCCACTGCCCAGGTGCGGGGCGCGTGGTGTGGCAGCATGCCGTCCACGGGAGTCTCCGCTTGCAGAAAGGCGACTGTACAGTGCAGTATCCTGGGTATTAGTTTTGCAAATCAGAACCAAGGCTTTAGAGGCATTCACAAACCCAGCATAGGCCCACACAGTCGGTAAGCAACAAAGCCTGGACTTGAACCTGGGGACATCACTGCTCCCAAATGAAATGCTTGTGTTCATCATGTTACACTGCGCCCAAGAAATGCCTTCTTGTAAGAATTCATAGTCTTTGATCCATTAATCCCCTTCCTAGGAATTTATCCTAAGGGAAACGTGCAAAAAAGACGTATGTTCTTTAGCCACATGCACACACAAATGATGCTAAATGTCCAAAAATCAGACCATTTAAAAAAATTATGTTATGCCCACAGGATTCCATTCTGGCCCATGACCAGCAAACAATCAACCTGTAGGATAGTTAATAATTATACTCCCGATGCTGCTTACTGAAAAATGCAAGTTATAAACTAGCCATAAAATAAGGCCCAATGTCGTCAGTTTTAAGTATCAACTGACACAGAAATTATTCCAGAACAGGAAGAGTGGTTACCTCTGAGTGTAACTCAATGGATGCTGGGGTTGTTCAAGTACTTTTCTCTGTATCCCCAATTTTCTAGAATAAAACTTATTGCTTCCATAATCATAAAAATATCAGTATTTTAGGAAACCTCACTGGAAAAGAATTTTTGGTCTTCAGAGAGAACTTCAAAATTTGGGAAAGAGGGACAACTAGGTGGCTCAGTCGGTTAAGCATCTGCCTTCGGCTCAGGTCATGATCCCAGGGTCCTGGGATCGAGCCCCACATCAGGCTCCCTATTCCGCGGGAAGCCTGCTTCTCCCTCTCCCACTCCCCCTGCTTGTGTTCCCTCTCTCGCTGTCTCTCTCTCTGTCAAATAAATAACATTTTTTTAAACATTGGGGAAGGAAATTTCGGATGAACTCTCTTCACAATTATAAAAGTTAAAGGGAAAACTTTTCAAAATTAACTGGCTTTTTCTCGCAATAGACATGTCATCTCCTGATTCCTAAAAGCAGGTAAGACTTCAATCATATATACATTTATTTCTGAGGAATAATGACATCTCGATGGAAGCCATACTTACTTCTTCAGTAGCTTCAAAGAATAACACTTCCACCTCATCCAAGATGAGGTGACAGAGTCTAAGAAATAACAAGCTTTGGTATTTGAGAAGTCTCAGGAGGCTGTGGGGTGTTGTAACAATGATGTCACCTACGTTTTAAAAGAGAAGACAATTAACATTCAGATTTTCCATAGGTTTTTCTCACACTTCCTTTGCTAAGATGCCACACACTTTCTAGGACTGCTGTCTAATGACACAAAAAGCGGTTTTTCTTGCTGGGGCAGGTGAGCCCTGGCTGTCCGGGCCAACACTTGTCCTTATCTAGCACCTGGGCTCCCACCAGTGTTTGTGCTCCTGAAAGGCAGGGGTGGGGGTTCAGTTGACATCTAACGAACAGGAGGTATTCAATAAATAGTTAATGAGTGGAGGAAATCATGGCGCCTTCTCAGTGGAACGGCTGGAAGCCAAGGTCGAACCTTCGCCCTTCTGTGCCTGCCCGCAACGGACAGGGAGGTCCCACCTGTAGCTGGACTCGTGACATCATCACACAAGCCCGTGTCCTGTGCACCTGCCAGGCAGGGCCCCACTGCGCTCTGCAGGGAAAACCAAACAGCTTGGAAAGGATGCTTACACCCCCTTGGAAGCTTCATGTTTTTGGCTTCATCTTCGTGGAGTCCGATTATTAACAACATGGGATGAAGAGGCCTGGAGGATGTGCTATAATCTTCCAGTAATTCAAAAGTAAATTGGGCCTTTTTCCACCCAGGGCACACGATGACTGCCAGAGGCTGCAAAGACAAATTCACATAATTTGGGGCAAAAGTTAGGAACTGAACCTAGTCTATGTTGAAGCATGCAGAACATCTCCTTCCACAGAGTAAGCACTATATAATTTGTTTGCTACCATCATTGTCCTGTAAGTCAGAGAAGACATAATTTCATTAGAATGGATTTAGACACATGGACTCAGATTCCTCTAGGGCTTACACCAAGCATTTCACAAATATTAATTCATTTTATCTTTAAAACACTCTCACAGGGTAGATGAGAGGTGTGAGGCACAGAGAGGTAAAGTTAGTTGCCCAAGGCCACACAGCTAATATGCAGGAGCAGTAACATCTGAACCCAGGTGGTCTGGCTCTAGGACTCCTGCTCCCAGGGACCAGGTGAACTAACGGCCTCCTGAAAGGAGCTTTAGAAAAGGTCAGCGTCTCTTCTTTCGGGGTAAGTCTGCTACGGCTCCATCTGAACACTGACGGCCACCATCCCACAGTTATCTCCTGTGAAGTCATGCTGTGCTGCCTGCCAAACACCCTCCCGGACACATGCCCTCCATGAACTGAAGACAAGAACAAGTCTCCCCTCTCCTTCACGCAAGTCCAGGTAGGGCGCCAGCTTCCAGGCACCGGGCCTAAAAGCAAGCTGACCACAGAGACGTGGAGAAAGCAGAGGACACAAGAGGGAGGACCCAGGCATCATTTCCGGCCCAGCCCCGGTTCTATCTCAACACAGGCTGCAGGGATGTGGTCCATAGGGGTCAGCTGCTCACTGAAGGATGGAGATGTGAAGTCAATACATAATAACCCCACCGATGCAGACTTCCAAAGGGCAATCATTAAAACCACATGGCAGAATGAGAAAAATGAGTCTCTCTCCTACATGCAACGGTGTCTTTTCTTACTATGATCCTTCACCTTCTGATGAGGAACAGAGCTGCACTCACTGTATCCTCTGAGACATGTCAGGCACAGAGCTCTTCTGTCTGGGGGTTCACCCGACTGCCCGGACCCCGCAGAGCACGGCTTGCTACCCCCCATCACCTGACCCCACACCCCACTCCTCTCCTTTCCAGCATCCTTCACAGATCCTTGCGGATTCCTGCACATGCGAAGAATAAAGTAGGGTTCTACAACAGTGTGGGGTGCTCTGGAATAATTAAAAGAACGTGAGACACGATGACAGAAAGACCCAAGTTCTAATCCCACTTCTTGTCTCACTTGTCAGATGAGGCTAATTTTCTCATCTAGGGAACAGTGAAAACCATACACGGCCGACCATCTCACAGGGTGACCGTGACAGCGGAACTGAATCAGTGGAGTAAGTTTATAAGCTATATATTCATCTCCAAACGCCCGCAGTCTCTTGGCTCAGCCTATGGCCACAACAGGGGCTCAAGGGGAGAATCAGTGGCAGAGAATCAATGACTCTGGTAAGTTCCTGTCTTGTCATGGAAACCAAATGAGTAATGTAACCCAGACTTCACCAAAAGTTCGGCATAAAACTTAAAAATATTTAAGCCATGTTGTTGTGGAAACAAGCCTGTCTCCAACTTACTCCATTTCTACTTGGTAAAGACTTGTAGCAGCCCCCCGTTTGCAGAACTGTAAGGACCGGCGGGAGGTACAGCAGGGGATCCCCGCCACAGTGCGAGATGACCACCACGTCACAGCCCCGGGCTATGGGGGGCCAAGAGTAGGACTCCGCGTGGCTCGGTCCCGGGAACTTGTTTCTCTGAAGAGCCTACAAAACATCAGCCACCAAAAAACCACAAATGAAGCGTAGAAAACGAACAAAAACTCCATCTCTTTGCTCATTTCCCCCCCAAAACAGCCACTACACATTGCTTATTCTGGTATTTTCTAAGACCTAACTTGATGAGCCCCCGAGTCTTTTCTCAGCACCAAACTCCTGCCCTAAGACGCTTGCTTTTCTAGGCTCCAAATTAAAACCAAGTGCATAGAGCTCACCAGAGCAAGGATGTGGCTTCTCCTAATAATCTGTGAATACGTCAGCTTTACTTACAAACTTTTTTTTAAAACATGCCTTTATTGGGGTGCTTGGCTGGCTCAGAGGAGCGTTCAACTCTTCATCTCCGGGTCATGAGTTCAAGCCCCATACTGGGTGCAGAGATAAATTAAAAAAAAAACCCACATGCCTTTATTTGCTTATTTTTCTATGTAACGGTCACTAAAACCTCCCAAGTGTGGCAACAGAAAGAGTTCTCTAGCCACAATGACCCTACGTTCCAAGAGACTGAATTCATGAGCACAATTTGTTGGTGACGTCCCCATCCCCAAGCCCCAGGAGCAGCGCAGACCAGCAACTGGGCGTCCCACGTGCAGCCATCACCTCGCGGCCTCCTGGCGCTGTCCCTGCTGTCTGCAAGGCCGGTCATCCTTCCTGGCTGACTTTCTTGCTTTTGGTGGAGAACATACCTCAGGAGTGTCTCTCTTGAGGAAGTCAATTCTTGTGAGACTCTTGCATGTCTTGAAAATGTCTTCATTGCTAGTTTCGGATGGACCTCAAGGTTGGAAAGAACTTTTCACCCGAATCTCGGAATCAGCGCCCCTCGGGTGTTACCGACGGCAAGTCTGAAGGCATTTGTGCCCTCGGAAACCCCCTGATTGGACACTTCACCGCCGAGTGCCCACGATCCTGCCCCCTCACTATGCTGGGCTCGTGGGAGGAGGACTCTCGTAATTTGGACAGTCCCTTCCATGAGGTCTGGAAATCACTTGTGTGTTGCTCTTCTCAGAATTTTCTGCCCACTTCCTTTGCTCTTTTTAAAAAATCCCACTGCAGAGACTAGACCTTGAAATGGCCCTCAAATTGTTTCCCTCCTATTTCCATCTCCTTGTCTTTTTGCTCTACTTTCTAAGAGTTAGCTTCCGTTTTCTCTCTCCAATCTGCTGCTTGGTTTCTATCTCTATAGCATTCTGAATTTCCAAGAACCATTTTTATCCTCTGGGCCTTTTTTATAGCACCCTATTATTTAATAAATACTGTTAATACTTATCTCTGAGGGTATTTATTTTGTAGCATTATCTTCTATTGCCTACACTGTTTCCTTCAGAGTTTTATTTTGGTCTTTTTTTTTAAAAATGCTTTTATTTTCTTTTTAGGTGGGAGGTTTCATCAAATGTCTATGGATCCCTGATGTGTGTTCACCGGGAGGAGGCCCACTAAAAGCAGGCTGGAAGACGTGTGGCCAGCGCAGAGCTCGGCTCCGTGAGCACCACACCCCTGCAGGAAGCCAGGGCAGCAAGCAGGTGTCTTCACTGGGAGAATTCATCTGAAGGGCATTTCTAGGGCCATTCAGTTCCTTCAAAAAGATCGTCCTTCCCGAGAGGCTGACTGCGGATGCTCAGGAATGGGCGGAGGGAAGTTCAGAACCTCCTACTTCTCTCCTTCCTCTACTAGTCAGCCACACTCTGCTGCCTGTTTTCCATCTTCTGAAAGCCTGTGGAAATTTCCAGGCCACCAAAGACTTTGTTCTCATTCACTTCATCCTCGTGGATTTAGCCTCTTTCTTCCTGTCTTTTTTTTTTTTTTTTTAATCAAGAAGGAAATAGAAAAGCATGCGTGGTCAATTTACTAACTGAAATGGCAGGTCTCTAAAGCAGTTTTGAGAACACTCGGAAATATAGCATAACTGCCCTGGCAACTTGTTGCTCCTTCTAATAAGCCCCTTTCCCTAGACGCATTTGAAAACTTATTTCAGAAAAGCATTAAGAATTATACAGTGGTGGGTGCCTGGCAGGCTCCCTGGTCAACAGGAAGCCTGCTTCTCCCTCTCCCACGCTCCCTGCTTGTGTTCCCTCTCTCGCTGTCTCTCTCTCTCTGCTAAAAATTAAATAAAAAATCTTAAAAAAAAAAAAAAGAATTATACAGTGGTTTTGCCACAAAAGGATTATTCACTTATAGGAAGTAAACCTGAAGAATACACAAGAACTTAATAACAAAAGCTTAAAAGAGGATTTCCAAAGCCAAGAAACAACACAAGTGCAGCCTTGGAAGGGTTTCCTAAAAATCCTACGTTAGAACAGGTCAGCATTCCTTCATGAGCCCGCCTTCAGGAGCACTTTCACCTTTCTCAGGTCTGCCGAAAGTGGCGACGCGTCAATGGACAAGCAAGGCTCGATCTTGTGCCTGAGCACGGCCAAGGGCTGCTGGGAGCCGGACCGCAGCCTCTGCAACTGAGACAGCATGCCCCACGGTTAGTTAGACGCCCCTGTCCCGCCCGAAGTCAACCACTTTATGCAAAGGAAGGACAGCCTACGTATATATGCTCATCAAAACCCACCCAAAACTACCAAAATGAAAGGAAGAGCATCTACTATCCCCCACCAAATAATAATTTCTCTAAAGCAGTAATTCACTGGAGAATCTCTAAAAGGGTGTCTTCAGGGACAGTCCCCACCTAAGGGGGTTTCTCTTCTAATCTCAAATCCAGACGAGGAAGGAGACGGACTTAAAGAGTAAAAGAGCTGTTGTGGATTTTTAATTTTTGTGTAGGGTTGTCATACCTGCTGTAGATCAGAGATCCCATCAGTTCTCAAAGGATCAGGATTTAAAAACTGCAACAATCTATAAAATAGTGAAAAGGACAATTTGAAGGAAAAAGGAGTGTTAATATTTCCTCAACTGAGTTATAATTTTAATTCTTCCTTGACAGAGATAAAATGAAATACACAGTTGGCCCTTGAGCCACACGGGTTTGAACCATGCACACCCACTTATATGCGGATTGTTTATGGTACAGTACTAAAAATGTACTTTCTCTTCCTAATGGTTTTCTTAGTAATATTTTCTCTTCTCCAGCTTACTTTATTATAAGAATACAGTACTTAATACATAAGACATACAAATACATGTTAATCAACTACATTATTGGTAAGGCTTCTGGTGAACAGTAGGCTATGAATAGTTAAGTTTGGGGGGAGTCACAAGTTATATGCAGACTTTTAACTGTGTGGGAGGTCAGCACTCCGAACGTCCATGTTGTTCATGGGTCAACTGTATATCCCAAGGCATAGCTGTGAAATTACTGCTCGCCCCGTTTTGTCCTGTTTAGTGTGATAAAAGGCCACAGAGGTCAGGTCAGTACGGTACTGGCCCCGGAACCCTGGCCCCCAGGCTGTGGACACAGCGCCACCAATCCCAGGAACACCTGTTCTGACATGAAGAAAGACTGCATGATCACCAGGTCATGTCACGCTGCTGAGAAACCCACTGCCTTCTCGCTTCTGTGCCATAATCTTGAACCACTGGCAGTCACTGCCATTGTTGAATCAATGGATTCTAAGTAAAGGGCATTTAGCCCATGAGGAGAGAAGATACCACCTTTTAATAAAAAATGAAAGGCAATAGAGTACCTCGGGGTTGCTTATCAAGTTATGATTTAATGTAATGAAAGTAAGAAATGAGCTGCACGGGTAATGCAAGGTCTCTCATTCCAGGGAAAACCACGAGGCGCAGCCCCATGGCTTTCGGGGAGTAGGGTGGAGGGTTGCCCTGGGAGGAGGGGTCAACACAGCTGCGCTGACAGCCACCCCCAGATCTGTGGGCTGCAGGGGGTGGCCAGGGAGCCCTGTGAGGAGCTCCTGGGGGTGCAGGGGTGTTGCGGGGCCAGAGGGTGGGCTCTGGGAGGCAGGCAACCCAACGGTGTTGCAGTCAACACCCTCCCCCCAGTCATCCTGGGCCAATCAGTGGACACAGTATGACCCACCCAGTTCTGAAATGTCATAAATCCCTTGTCACTCTGGTGACTGACTTCAGAGCAGCTACAGTTACTGGGACTATAAGGGTGTTTTTAGGCTGGTATGGTAAGAAATCATAAAAACGAGTATGAGAATGTTTCATGGATTAAACAAGTAGGAAATAAAGTTACTACTCTGTTGTTAACTCGTCAGTGAATACCTTCTGAATCTGACAAGACAGAAACAAAACAAAACAAAACGCAGTTCCACACTACAAGTAATGAAATAGTTTCTCCAGCAGGTAGAAGACCCCTTTGGCCATCAGAAAACCGGGAGAGCAGCAGATGTAAACCCACAGAAGACCAACAGCCCCAAAGGCCAACCGTATCTAATTTGTTTCATAAAACTTCACCAAAAGAATCAGGAAGGGGAGGCAGAATATGATTATTTACAGCGGAACAAATATTTTAAAAGAAAAATCTACCCTAGCAAACAGGAAAAACAATTAACTTCAAAGCCTACAGCGGACACTGTAGGTGTATTTTCCACAAGGGAATGCAGGTTTGAAATTAATAAAATCATAATGTAAATTCTTCCTGCTTATAATTTTATTACAATTATTAAAAAAAAATGTAGACCAGGCACCTGGGTGGCTCAGTTGGTTAAGCGACTGCCTTCGGCTCAGGTCATGATCCTAGAGTCCCTGGATCGAGTCCCGCATCAGGCTCCCTGCTCGGCAGGGAGTCTGCTTCTCCCTCTGACCCTCCCCCGTCTCATGTGCTCTCTCATTCTCTCTCTCTCATAAATAAGTAAAATCTTTAAAAAAATAAAAAAAATGTAGACCAAAGAAATAATTCATACTTCACACAGCCATTCTTCTCATTGTGTTCTTTCTTCTCGGCCAACCTAAGTGGTTTCTCATTTGGCTTCTGACATAAAGCACTAGAAACCAAAAAACATTGATTAGAATCTCCGAGCCCATTTGCCCCAATCCTGAAAATGCCCATATTTTCTGGGAGAAAACTCAGGTAGCACTAAGGAGTGTGTCGCTCTACATACGCAGATTTATTTCGGTGAGAATGGACACTCTGCTCTCTAAGGATGAAAACCACATTGAGGGTGCTGGTGCTCACCAAGAGGGCCTAAGCCCTCCACAGCCGGTCTCTCCTCTGACCTCAGCTGGAAACCCCGTGTAAAGCACAGAACTGAACGGGAGAGAAGTCAAACCCTGCAAACCACCAGAATCGTGTAGAATTCCCAGGGATTTTACACTCCTCTGTCTCTTGGTGTTGGCCTGAGGCTGGCCCCGGACACAGAACTGCACCACGGATGTGGACACCAAGCACTGAGAGAAACCCTCTGTTTCAAGCCAGTGAAGCAGGAAGGGGAGATCAGACAGCTACACTGACTGATTTCCTCTTTTCCCTTTTTCTCTTTGGCCCTGCGCCATGGGCAGCTCCAGTCATGTAGCTGCAGTGGTGACAGGGGGCTGTCACCCGAAACTCCCTCTCTCTAGAGGATCTAGGGGTCCAAAGATGCGGAGGAAACCTCCATCTTTTCCCCCTCTTGTTTCCACTGCTATTTTGTTCCACAAGTGGCCCCAATCACACAGACCTGGCATGGCTGCTTCTCCATGAAAAGCCATCTACCTGGACAGGGGCTCAAGGAGAGGGAGCATCTACAAAATGGTCAATGTGAGGAAAATCCTGGAGAAAAGAGAGTGTGCCAGAGAATGACCCAATACAAGTCCCAGGCTCGCCCCAAGTTGAGCATATTCAGAACAGACCCAAAGCAGAGCTGCAGTCACCACCCAAACGAGATGGAGTCTGACACCAGAATGGTCACTGACTTCCTGTTAAATAAACAACAAAAACACCAAGGCCAACATTGTCCAGAGGATCTGAACAGAAACCAGAGTCTCACACCATAATATTCAAAATATCCAGAATACAACACACAAAGAACCAGGAAAACCAGATCGACTGTCAAGGGAAAAGATGATCAGCAGGTGCGAATCCCAGGATGGCAGACAAGTGGGAATCATCACGTACTTTAAAGCAGCTATTATAACCATGATCCCTAAGGGAGGGAGGGGTGAGCACTCTTGAGTGGAACAATTAAAGTTCTCAGCAAAGAAATACAAACTATAAAAAATACCAAATGAAAATTTTAAAATGGAAAAATACAACAAATAAAAAAATTTCAGCAGGATGGAGATGACAGAAGGCTCAGTTAAGTTAAAGATACATCAGCAGAATTACTAACCTGAAGAATAGCAAGGAAAAAAGGTAAAAAAAAAAAAAAATGAGCCAAGTCTCAGGGACCTTTCGGACAGTATCAAAAGGTATGATACTTGTCTCATCAGAGTCTCAAGAGGACGGGAGAAAGATATACGTGCAGACAAACATCGGTACAATAGCAGCTGAATACTCTCCAAATCTGATGCAAGACAAAAATCTACACATGAAGAACCTTAATGAGCACCAAGCATGAGAAACTACACCAAGGCATATGTAATTAAATTGCTCAAACCAGAAACAAAGAAAAAAATCTCAAAAGCAGTCAGAGGAGAAAGACATGTTGCAAACAAAGGAACAAAGAAAAAGATGACAGTAGCTTTTGCGTTAGGAATGATGCAGCAAGCTGACACGACACCAGTATCTTTAAAATACAGAGACAAAAGAACTATCAACCTAGAATTCTATACCTAGCAAAAATATCCTTTTTCAAAAATGAAGCTGAAATAATTTTTCCAGACATACAGACACTGAAAGAATCCATCACCAGCAGACCCACAATACAATCAACAGTAAAGGCAGTCCTTCAGGGACACGCATAACGATACCAGATGGAGATCTGAATCTACACAAACAGCGAAAAGCACTGACGGTAACTACGCAGGTAAACACAGAAGGTATTCTTCTTTCTGTTTATTTAAATCTCTCGAAAAGACCACTGACCTAAGTTTAGATACAAATGATACTAGAGTCTAGGATGTATAAAGAATGTATAAATGAAATGTAGGACAACACTAGCACGAAGCCCAGGAGGGGAGGAATGGAGCACACGACTAAGATCTTACACTATTTGTGACACGGTGTAATAATAGTACAACTGTTCTGTGATTTCACAAACATCATGAACCCGCCTCTTGATGTGGACAGGGTTACAGTCAAAGCCTCAGATACTCCTCCTCAACAGCCAGTCTTTGCCCCCCACCACTTTGTACTGCCTTCTGGCCCACACGTACCAGCCTTTACATCAGGACAATTCCACTGGACCTACCTCACAGAAACAACTTTGTCCAACAAGGTAACACGGAGACTCTAGAGCCACTACCAATTTCTGGTCAGTTGTGCTACTAACCCGTTGTTATATGTTTTTCTTTAAAATTAATATAGGTTTAATCAAAATTTCTGGACCACTCTTTATTGAAATTGAATCCTTTCCTATCATCAATCAAAAAAACACCATGTAAGACAGTATTACACTCATGTATCTATTCGATTACACTAAATTTTCAAATCATACCTTGCTGCTGGTGTATCTGGCTCAGCATATATGGTTATCCCCCTCTTTGTTGGCCAGTACATGGAGGATTCAACACACTGTAAAAAAATTTTTTAGAAAGAATGTGTATGCTAGCAAGATACATAACCTCATGGAGCTAAAATTCCATGGGAGTCATTCTCATAAACAACCATCCCAGATCATTTTCAGGCAACACAGACACGGAGAGACAAAGAACTGGATAATGTGGTTATGCCATGGCTATAACCACTAGATTAAAGTGTCCAAGTAGCAAGCAGGTGGCACTTCAGATAATCAGTATTTCAAATGTCCTGTAATTATTTCACTTGTCTTGTCGAAGGACTGGAAAGACAGATTGGACAGGTTGGACTGGAACTATTAGAGTGTCCCATAATCTCAGGTTTTCACACCCTTGTTAAATAAGCATAAATACCCAATCCTGCAGAGAAGCCCCTAGGCCAGCAACAAGAGGGAGGCTAGAGTTCTCTTGTTCTTTTGAATTAGAGCCAACACACAAACTATATTTCTTCCTGAAAGACATGACCACAGCCAAGGATTTCTTAACAGAAAACATACTTTAGTTCCTAGATTTCAAATGAGAATATTCTAAAATTAACATTGTATGAACTTTATACCTAATGAACATTTTAAAATACAACCTTATTTACATCTTTCAAAGAGATGCACTGTTGTTTCTTTTCAGGCTTTTTTTTAGGTGAACCTCTCAATGAATCCAGATTACAGTTTATAGTTTTATCTGCAAAATAAAAAGTGAAAAAGACCTTTCTTAGAAAGTGCTATTAATAGAAAACAGAAAAAGGATTATAAATTTAAAAGTACAATCATAAAAATCTTAATACATCAAATTATTAAATAGGGTTTTGAATTAAACTTTACTTGAGGAGATTAAATTTAAAAATCTTGTTTCAAACCTTGTCACACTAAAAGATGTTTAAGTAATTCCTTTACCGGCTTACTAGCAATTAAACACAATTTATTTTCCCAAGTTGGCAGACTATATTTTTCAAAGAGGGCCACACCATGTCTCCCAACATACTCGCTCTTCTTACAATTTGTCATTGACATGTGTCCCACCAAGACACGGGCTCTGTATTCCCTTCCCGGGAGCCGGGGGCGCTTGTAAGCAACATGGAAGTGGGGTTATGTGACTTCAAAGCTAGACAGCCAAAATGCCATGTACTTATGACCTGTCCTCTTGAATGCTGTCAAAACCCAGCCAGCATGCTGGGAAGAAGCTCAAGCAACCCCATGGAAAGGTCACTATAGGAATTTCAGATTAGCGCCCCAATCATGGTCCCAGCCAAAGCCACAAATCAGCTGCCAGAGATGTCACCACCTAAGTTTCAAATGAATCCACCTGTTTCCTCACCACCAGCCCTCAGGTCTTCCCAGCTGAGGCCCCAGACACTGTGGAACCGAGACAAATCCTTTGTGTTATGCCCATTCCAAAGTCCCGACCACAGAATCCACACACATTATAAAATGCTTTACACCACTAACCATTATCAAATGTTTGTTACAAAGCGATCAGAACCAGAATATCAACTATAACTCAGTTTCAGCAATGATTCAGGATCACACCTGTGCATCTCACTTCTTAATAGCACAGTAGGTAGAGAAGGCATTAGGAAAACAGGCTGGATTTGAATAGCCAGCAGGCAGCAAAATTCCAAAGCAGACTCTTTCAAATATCTTTATTCCTTAGGCCTAGAGCTGATTTGGAAAAGTGACAAACACTCTTCAGTGAATATGAATAATCAAGCGAGGTAATTACGCTTGGGTAAAAACTGAGGTGTGATGGAAAGAAAAAGAAAAGGAAATCAACCCAGCAATCATTTTTTAGGGTATGACACAAGCAATCCTGGAAAAGTGTTCACACTAAGCATCAATAAGAGAAACACAACTGAAATGACAAGGTACATTTTTTACCTATTAAATAACATAAATCACTAAAATAAATAGTAAATGCTGGAAATGTGAAATGATGTTGTAAACTGGTCTAATCTTTCGTTAAAATAATTTGGTGCCCAAGCCTGCTTGTCATGGGATCTTTGGGTCTGAAAATACATTCTCCCTTCAGGGTGTGATGTTATAGCCAAAAATAAAAACTCTGATCTGGATCCAGAAGTGAAGGGGATGGACGAAATTTGCTGAGAGAAAATAAATGTCCATGCAACACAAGCTTTCAAACAAAACCACAAAGTCCACAAATCAATGCCATCATAAATGTTAAAAAAAAAAAACAAAAACCCACAAAGATTTTGTCAGGGAGCAGAGATTCACACCTGAGGAAATTTATAAAAGAGCATCAGAAAAGGACTCTAAAATAAATACCCTTAAGATATCCAAGAGATAAAAAGGACTCATATTCATGAAACAAAGCAGGTGGATATAAAAAGATATGCAGACATAAAAAAGAACTTATCAGAACTCTAAGCAGCAAGAAATAGTCATCAAATTGAAAACTCAAAAGAGGAAGTTAATACTAAGTTGGAAGCTAAGAGAAAAATGGTAATATAAAGAACTAAGAAAACGTTTCAAAGCTAAGTTCAGAGAAATAAAAAGAAAATGCAAAAGAAACCTATGAAAAACAGATCATAAATGGAGAAACACTAATCTACATCTAAGAGGAAGGAGGATAAAATTTTTAAAAACATTAACATCTAATACTTTTCAGAAATTCAGGTTAGACATGAATTCTATAATTGAAAAATTCCAAGTGTTAACAGAATAAATTTGAACCATCCACTCTTAGACACATTGTAAAGAAACAGCAGAATATCAAGGATAAAGAGAAAAAACTAAAAAAATCAATAGAACATAGTAATCACTTACAAAAGAATAACCAACAGATTGACAAATTAGGAGAAAATGTACTATCTCCACTGTTGAAGGAAAATAACTAAGAACCTGGCATACCATATCTGGTTTAACTATTACCAGATGTTAACATCTATTACCCACAATCCCCTTCTGAAAGTACTAAAATATGTACCTGAGAAAGAAAAAAATAAACCAGCTGGGCAATAATAATCCTAATAACATTAATAACCTAATTTAAGATGGAGTTGGGAAGCCAGAAGGGGGAGCTCTCAGGCTGTACCACTCCTCGCAGCCCCTTGTTGACCCAACAGGAAGAGATGTACCTTGCATTTTCCAACACGAAGAAGCCTACTTTACTTACCCTAGGAGGGGGAAGAAGATTTTCTCCTGGCCCAGCAACAGCCCAGCCAGTGAGAGACTGTTACAACTCAGCCAATGAAGGGCCACTATACTTTGGACTCCCAGTTTACTTCAGTAGACTTTTTGTTGATAACGGCCCCTCCCAATTTCCCCCTTTTCTCTATAAAAGAGCGTTCCTCTCCTTTGTGCTCTGCATTCCCACATAGTTTTGCTGCAGCTTGCCTGTCCTGAACTGTAATTCTCTACTATTCCCATACAAACCCACTTGCTGGTAAAATAACTGCCTGTTTTATTTTCAAGGTCGACTATATATATACGCCCATGTGTGCTGATGTAGAAGTCAAATGAATGACAACAATGCTAGGGACAGGAGGTAGGGATTAGGAATATTTGGTCATCATACTTGTACTACCTGTGAGGTGGTACAGTGTTATCTAAAAGTGGACTTGGATTGGTTGTAAATGCATGTTTTAAACCCTAAGGCAACCACTGAGGTAAGTGAAAAAGAAGTATAACTGATATGCTAAGAAAGGAAAGAAAACAGAATCATATAAAATGCTTAATTACAACTACAGGTGGCAGACAAAGAGTGGAAGATAAAAATAGGAACAAAAAACAAGGGAATGAATAGAAAACAGTAACAGATACGGTCAATATTAATCCAACTCTACCAATAGTCACTTTAAATGGCAATGGTCTAAATACACCAATCAAAGAGGTTGTCAGAGTGAACAAAAACAAGACCCAACTAGATGTTGTCTACAGGAAACCCACTTTAAGTATAAAGACAGAAATTAAGAGAATGGAGAGAGATACACCATGCTAACACTAATCAAAGAAAGCTGAAGTAGCTATACTGATTTCAGATAAAGTGGACTTCAGAACAAGGAAAATTATGAAGGATAGAGGCATTACATAATGATAAAGGAGTCAATTCTCCAAGAAGACCTAGCAGTCCTTAAGGTGGATGTGCCTAACAAGAGATCATCACACTATGGGAGGCAAAAATGGATAGAACTGCAAGGAGAAACAGATGAGTCCACAATGATAGCTGGAGACTTGAACACTCCACTATCAGAAATGAACAGAGCAAGCAGGCAGGAAATCATAAGGATATAGCTGAGTTCAACACTACCATCAATCTACTGAATGTAACTGAGATCTATAGCCTACTTCACTCAACAGCACACTACACTCTTCTCAAACTCACATGGAACATATACCTAAACAGAACACACTCTGAACCATGAAACAATATAGGCCATAAAAACACATGAAAAATTTAAAAAGAATAGAAACTATACAATGTATACTTTCAGACCATAATGGAATTAAACTAATTCAGAAACAAAAAGATAGTGGAAAAATCCCCAAATAGTGAGAGATTAAACAACACACTTCTAAATAACACCTGGATCAAGAAGAAATCTTGAGAAACTTAAAAATAGTTTAAACTAAATGAAAATTATGGTATAGCTTATCAAAATTTGTGGGATGTAGTAAAAACAGTATTTGGAAGGCAATTTATAGCATTAAATGTATATATAAGAAAAGAAGATAGATCTCAAGTCAATAATTGGTGAGAGATATCCTCCTAGCTTGGAAATGGCTGCCTTCTCGTGTATTCTCACATGGAGGAGAGGGAGCGCTCTCGTGTCTCTCTTCCTCTTCTTAAAAGGGCATCAGCCCTAGAGAACTAGGGCTCCACTCTTACGACCTCATTTAACCTAATTACCTCTTAAAGACTCTATCTCTCAATACAGTCATATTGGGGGTGTTAGGGCCAGGGCACACAACTCAGTCCACGGCATGATTTTCTTTGAAAAGGATCAATAAAAACAATACGCCTCTAGCCAAGCTAACAAAGAAAAACACAGATGACACAAATTACAAGCATCAGAAATGAAAGAATAAACATCACTAGAGGTCCTATGGACATGGAAAGGACAAATAAGGAATACCATGAACAACTCTACGTTCACAAATCTGGTAACCTAGATGAACCGGATCAATTCCTCGAAAGCCACAGTCTGCCAAAACTCACACAACTCAGTCCTCAAACTGGAAGGTGGAGCAGAGAAGAGGGCATCTGATCTGTGCAGGCAGAGGAAGGAACCTTGGTGATGGAGAGCAGGACATGGGAGCCCAAGCAGAGTGAGGTGAGCACTAGGGGGGTGGAAGAGGGGAGAGGCTTGGAGCCAAGTAGGGTGAGGAGGGTGCCTTTGCAAGGGTGGGAATGAGGGACAACCCTACGTGGGAATGCAGAACCCAAGTGGGGGTGGACCTACGTCTAAGTGAAATGAGGAAAATGTCCACAGGGTGGCTGTGTGTGTGGCAGGGGGACGGTATCAGCCTGAACTAGGTGAGTGATGGAGGCAGGGGAGGTTTGAGTGGTGTGCTGTCAGCAAATGGAGTGGGGAGCGCATCTGTACAGAAAGGGTAGTAATGGCCGTGAAGAACTGGTTACTTACACAAGCAAAGAGTGGTTGCTTATCTAGAAGGACCAACCCCATAAGTATCTATAGTAGGAATAAAGGCAGATAGGAATCTTAGTCACAGAGGAACATGACAAACTTGGGAAGGCAGAAAACTAGAACAATCCAGCAGCAGCAGGATCTCAATTCGAGATATTGGTGTCAACTCCTGGTTTCCAGTACATAGATCACAACAGATATAAAATCTATAGAGATGTAAGTGTATACATGAGCATGGATGCACACACACCCAGTCCCCAGCTCTGTCCACTGAAGGGCCTGGGAGCAACCACCACAACAGAAACGAACACACCCAGCTCCCAGATGTTTCAAAATGGCATTCTCCATTCAAAGGAACCAGGGGAACTTGGGGAACTGGTTGAACCACTTCAGGGTCTCAGATAGGAATCTCTATTGATGTGGATTAATGAGCAAATGAAAAGGAATGATAGCAACAGCCAACAAAATATTTGCAAGGTGAAGAGTAACTTTCAGTGGAGAAGCCTGGCAGATGCTAATTAATTAACCGATCAAAGGGACCCTCACCAGTACTGGGACACATCAAAGTTTTATGTCCGCTGGTAAGATGGAATGAGATGAACCCAGTGTCTCTCTTGAGGAATCCCTGCCACAGGTGTGTAAGCTCAATCTTACACAATTGAGACATTCTACTAAGCAGCCAGTCTATAGTCTTTCCAAGTGTCAAGGTCATAAAATTGAAGGGAAGACTGAGGAACCATTCCAGACTGAAGGAGGAGAAAGAGGCGTGATGGCGGAACACAACAAGGGATGCTGAGCTGCACCTTCCTGCCATAAGGGAGTCACAGGGAAGAGTGACTGAACCTGAATGGCGTCTGAGGTTTAGGTGATCGCAATGTGTCAATGTCAGTTTTCTGACTTGTATGGCTGTATTGTGAATTTTTTTTTTTAAAGATTTTATTTATTTATTTGACAGAGAGACATAGCCAGAGAGGGAACACAAGCAGGGGGAGTGGGAGAGGGAGAAGCAGGCTTCCTGTGGAGCAGGGAGCCCGATGTGGGGCTCGATCCCAGGACCCTGGGGTCATGACCTGAGCCGAAGGCAGGCACTTAACGACTGAGCCACCCAGGCACCCTGTATTGTGAATATTTTTGAGAATATCCTTGTTGCTGGGAAAAACACACTCAAGTATCAGGGAGAGATCCAGTCAGCATCTTATCCTCACATGCTTTAGAAAGAGTTCTCTGCAAAGTTCTCCAACTCTTCTGTAAGTCTGTGATTATCCTAAAATAAAAATCTCATTGCGAAAACAGATGTAAGCCCCGTGAAGGCAGACTTTTTTCCTTCCCTGCTGAGGCCCTAGAGCAGTCCTGATATGCACGAGCACTTCCAGAATGGCCGATGAATACATACACATGGCTCAGGGGTGTGTGAGCTAGTCTGTCAGAGAAGTCAAGATGGGGGCGCCTGGGTGCTCAGTCGGTTGAGCGTCTGCCTTCGGCTCAGGTCATGATCCCAGGGTCCTGGGATCAAGTCCCGCATGGGGCTCCCTGCTCAGTGGGGAGCCTGCTTCTCCCTCTGCCCTGCCCCACCCCCACTCGTGCATGCTCTCTCTCAAATGAATAAATCTTAAAAAAAAAAAGTCAAGACAGGTCTAGAACTAAGTGATAAGCCTAGAAATGGTAAATTAATTGTAAGGGTTTCAAAATCTGGAGACAACCACCAAAGTAAAAAGGTAAGGGGAACGATAAAGGTTTACCTCTCGGGAGCCGCCTCAGCTGAGGAGAGGCTAGAAAGAGAAGATTACTTCTCATCACTTTTCACTCCTTCTGTGCTATTTGATTGTTTAACCAAGTATTAACAAAGTATTATGCTTTGATTTTAAAAATGTAAGACAATTTCAAGAAGTACCAAAAAATAATTAAAAGACAGTTGAAGTATCTTCTTACCATGATTACAAGGAAAAGGAAATCTTTGCTTGGGTAAGTAACACCTAATAATTTTGTTTTCCCATGACAATCACTTACATCTCACATCGGCTTTCCTTTCTTTTACCATCAAACTTTTCCTTTTCAAAGACACACACAGTGCTGGGGCACCTGGGTGGCTCAGTTGGTTAAGCGTCTGCCTTCAGCTCAGGTCATGATCCCAGGGTCCTGGGATCGAGCCCCACGTCCGGCTCCTCGCTCAGCGGGAGGCCTGCTTCTCCCTCTCCCCCTCCCTCTGCTTGTGTTCCCTCTGTCGCTGTGTCTCTATCAAATAAATAAATCTTAAAAAAAAAAAAAAAAAGACACACACATTGCATCCTGACACTGACCACAGGAAGGAAAAGTGGGAAATGGTTACTGTCCAGAAATCTGGGGCTACTTAAAAAAAAAAAAAAAGCAAAAATGATGACATATTCATGTGATGGAAAGCTGGGCACTGATTAAACACAACATAAAATGCTTGGCATTTTTCATGCTCCAGTAAAAGCGGGCCCATATTTTTATTTCCATGTGTCTTTCTGCCATCAGCAACAGGGGCATGTTTCAGCAGGAACTCTCAGCTGAGACCCCTGCAGGAGGCACATCAGAACAGAGGGTGGGGGCCGCATGTGCCATGTCAGCCACGGGCCATGTCAACTGTGTGTGTGGATGGCCTGTTTAATCAAGTCACTGCAATGGGAACAGTGCCTCCCCCCCCAAGTCACACAGGAGGAGGGACACCAACATCCCATCTGTCTCACGTCAGAACTCATGTCCTTAAACTCAAGTGATCCTGGACATATGTGACCTAGAAAGAAGTTCATCCATATGTTAACTGAAAAACACTACATAGGGGTATGTATAGAATCCAATTTCTGTGAGATAAAAATGTTATACACAACCCTTACAACTGGAAAACTCTGGAAAACAAGACTCTCGTATTTTAGTAAGTAGCTATTAAAGATGACAGGTTTTTAAAACGTTGAGTATCTGTATTCTACGATAAACAACATTATCAAAGTAAATATAAAGAATGCTAACTGTAGGGGTGACTTCGTTGGCAAAAGCTTTAACTTAGTTGAGGTTTACAGCGTACATGCATGAAATACTCGGTGTACACGCGCGGGACAAAGAGGGGAGTGGTGCAGGAATTACCACAGAGGGTGACCAAGAATCAAAGAGGCTGGCAGGTTCCACTCTGGTCCAACAATTCCCACCGGTTATGCTCCTTGGAGATACAGAGTTAAAGACTGGGTATTTCTACCCTCCTAAATGCCTCTTTCTTTTATGTGCCCCACTGTTTAAAATAAAAATCACTCACAAATGCATACATACACTCTGAGAACAAATAATAATCACCATTGTATGGCTGGGCTGAAATAAATCAGCTCTACACGTAAACAAATGCCTGTTACAGTAAAACCTCTAAGTAAGGGGGCGCCCGGGGGGCTCAGTCGGTTAAGCATCCAACTCATGATTTCAGCTCAGGTCATGATCTCAGGGTGGTGCACAGCACTCTGTGCTCAGCAGGGAGTCTGCTTGGGATTCTCTCCCTCTGTCCCCTGCCCTGGCCGGCTCATGCTCGCTCTCTAATACATACATAAATCTTTTTTAAAAAAGTCCTCTAAGTTAAGAACTGCAAGGCCAAATTATCTCTGTCAGCATCTGCATCGTAAACTGGTTCCATGAGATTGAGAGAATTACCACAGCCCTTCTAAACAATCCTTACAATCTTTAGACCGTTGAGAGTGTTCTTTTAAGCTGCCTATGAAATAAGGCAAGTGAACTTACCCAGATATATAGCAGTTGGCCCAAGGTCACCAACAACACCCTTGGGCCCCAGATGCTGGAGGGACTGAGCCAGAAAAGTTAAACCATGTGAATCTGACAGAAAGAACACAATTCAGGATTACAGCATGAAATAAAACCCAAATGACAAATGCAAAACTCAGTGGCATACTACTTTTTTGCTGGGAGGTCACAGGAGCCCTAACTCGGGGCAGGAAAGGAGTGTGAACGATTAAGGAAAACTGAATTGAGAGAGAAACACTTAAAAAATTGTTTCCACTGTCCACGACGGTCTCCTCTCGTATTTCCCTACTAATAAACAGCTCTTCTTAAATGGGTCTAAAATGGTAAACATTTGGCCTTGTTTTGGTAACATCTTTAAATTATAAACTTACGGACTTCTGAAAATGTAACTCCATGTTAATAAGAAATTGAGAACAGTTTTTCTCTGGTCTCATAAAAACTACAGCAACTCAGGACTTCAAAACCTGTCACAAACTCACCAGGATTAAAATTAAAATATTAGATTTTAATATTTTAATAGTCCAAGTCTCTGCCTCCATATGGGGAAAAGTTTGTACAACTTACATCAGTACAATATGATTCATATAAATAGGACAGTTTAAAAGAAACATGTATTGGTGAGAATCCACTCACTTTCCATTCCTTGTGGATCTTTTCCTTGCAAAAACATTGGCCAAAGAGTAAGCGCTGGATTGAGTTTACTGGAAAAGGATGCTGACTTTATACTCAATCTTGATTTCTCTACAGAATCAGTGTTTTTATTCTCCTTGGGTGATATGTAACGAGCGAAGTTCTTCGCAACCAGATCATCATTAACACAGACCTGTACAATTTTCAACATTCCATGAATAAGACAAATAGAGTCAAGTGACTGTTCAGAAAATATCCCAAACTTAACCCCAAATTTCAATCTTCAGAAAAAAATTATTTTATAAAACATAATTTGATAGAAACCAATCTCTTAACTTCTGCTCTGGTAACAGAGGACTAGATACTTCTGACCAACCCTCCTGGTAAGAAAAACATTAAGAATCTGTACCAAGTATCTTCTTGAGCAAAAGCATTGGGGAGCTAACATGACTTTGCTGGGCAAAGATCTGGGGGGATGACAAAGACAAAGCTCAAATCATAAAAAGAAAAACTGATAAAAATTTAAAAATTTAAATTTTAGACTGTATCAAAATTTAAAAATTTCCACTCTTCAAAAGGCATTATTAAGAGACGAAGGGCAGGGGTGCCTGGGAGGCTCAGTCATTAAGCATCTACCTTCAGCTCAGGTCATGATTCCAGGGTTCTGGGATCAAGCCCCACATCAGGCTCCCTGCTCAGCAGGAGCCTGCTTCTCCATCTCCTATTCCCCCTGTTTGTGTTTCCTCTCTTGCTGTGTCTCTGTCAAATAAATAAAATCTTTAAAAAAAAGAGAGAGAGATGAAGGGCAATCCATAGAGAGAAAATTTTTAAATCTGGTATCCGGATGGACATGTACCCAGAATATATAAAGAACTCTCAAAATGCAGTAAAAAGATGATAAACAAACCAATTAAAAAATGGACAAAATACAATGGAATATTACTCAGCCATAAAAAGATGAGAAAGATTCTTCCATTTGCAACATGAATGGACCTAGAGGGTATTATATTAAGTGAAATAAGACAGAAAGACAAACACCATATGATTTTACTTACATGTGGAATATAAAAAACAAATGAATAAACAAATAGCACAAACAGACCCATAAATACTAAGAACTGATGGAGGCCAGAGGGGAGAGGGGAGGGGGTGCGCAAAAAGGGTGAAGGGGAGAGGGAGACACAGGCCTTCAGTATGGAATGAGTAAGTCTTGGGAATAAAAGGTTCATCAGGAATAGAGTCAATGGTGTTGTAATGGTGTTGTAATGGTGTTGTGTGGTGAGCACAGCATAAGGTACAGACTCGTCAAATCACTCTACTGTACACCTGAAACATCGTGTATCAACTATACTTCAATTTAAAAAATTATCCAGGGGCGCCTGGGTGGCTCAGTCGTTAAGCATTTGCCTTCAGCTCAGGTCATGATCCCAGGGTCCTGGGATCGAGCCGCGCGCCCCACATGGGGCTCCCTGCTCAGCGGGAAGCCTGCTTCTCCCTCTCCCATTCCCCCTGCTTGTGTTCCCTCTCTCACTGTGTCTGTCAAATAAATGAATAAAATCTTTAAAAAATAAAATAAAAAATAAAAAAATAAAAAGGTATCCAGAAAATGGGCAAAAGATCTGAATGCACACTTCATCAAAGAAGATATGCAGATTGCAAATAGCATATGAAGAGACACTCATCGTCATAAGTCATTAGGGAAATGCAAAGTTAAGCCAGGATGAGATACTTCTACGCATCCATCAAAGTAGCCACCCAAGCACTGAAGAGGACATGAAGGAACTGAGGCTCTCATCCATTGCTGATGGGATTGTACAATAGTTAACCGCTTTGGAAAACCATCTGGCAGTCTCTTACTACCTACAATCCCACCCAGATATTTGACTCCTAGGTCCTCACCCAAGAGAAATGAATGTATAGGTTCACAGGAAGAAATGTACATGAATATTCATAGCAGCTTTATTTGTAACAGCGCCAAACTGGCCACAACTCAAATGTCCAAAAGACATGAACAGGTAAATCCACTGTATAATATCTGGACGACAGAAGAGTATTTGACAATAAAAGGGACAATGTGGATATATGCTAAAGTAATTTTGTTGCGTGAAAGAAGCCAGGCCAAAAAGAGAAAACCCTGGCATATCCTTGTGCTTCCTCAGGGAGCTGGAAAAGGATGCCAGGCTCTGTTTTTCTTTTTCTGGCAATGATGACCACATGCATCTGTTCTAAGTTCTCTCTGCTAAGAAGCTTACCCTCTGCACTCCCCCACCGTGAAGTATGGCCACAGAGGGAAAGAGACCTACTTGAAAAGCAAGAAGAAAGAAGCAGGTCAGTAGAAAAGTTTAAAGATGTTTCACCATACCAGTCCAAGAGCAGCATTTTGTTATTTTTACCAAACTAAAATAAGCAATGAAAAGCCACCGGTGAAAATTACAAAGACAAGGAGGAATCCAAAATGCACCACAAAGACTAACAAATGAACCTTACTGTAAATGAATAACATCAACATAATGAAGAGGGAGGGGAAGAAAAGAACTAACCTAAGTAACTTCAGAATATAGTGTTTTGGTTGCATGCTATTTGCCTTTAGACAAACTTCTTTTTCACAGGAATGTGGGTTAGCAATTCTGGAATTACTTTATGTAAATATTAAGATTAATTGAATTAATTATAATGTAGCTAACAAGAGCAGGTTTCTCACTGTTGGAAACGTGTCACGGAACGGGGAGGGCCACAGAGAACCCTGTGAAGCTGGACTGGAATGAGAGGTACCAGAGCTCTTTTTTTGAGAGAGAGAGAGAGAGAGAGAGAGAGAATGACTGTGCGCATGTGTGAGCAGGGGAGGGGCAGAGAGAGGGAGAGAGAGAATCTTAGGCAGGCTACACGCCCAGCACACAGCCCGACGTGGGGCTCCATCTCACGGCCCTGAGCCACCCAGGCGCCCCGTCCAGACAGATCCAGGTATCAATCCGTGTGTGTGTGGAGTAGTGCACATACACATACTTCCTGTCTGCAGAGAGGGCCTACGAGCCGCGACACCCCAGCAGTAGGGAGCACATCTTGTGCCCCAGTCTTGCTATCTGAATACGAAGACCACTCTTCTTTGAGAAGTGGTTGATTCCAGGGCTGGGCTGGAGAATGACAAAATTAACCTAGAGCATCTCCTGGTACCAAAAATAGAAAGTTTCCAGCCATGATGGGGCACACTGAGAGGACACGTAAGCCACTTTGACGAAGCTGCTAATGGCCAAATCTGGGACAAATTGAAGAAAATAATGACAGTAATGTACTCTATCCCCTAGAGTAAAACAAACAGCCAAGAATCAGCACTAAGATAAATTACTGTACCAATTAATAAATGGGGGAGAAGGGCCAGTTCTTCTTTATAGAATTCCAATTAAAAATGCAGAAGGCCTGGGGCGCCTGGGTGGCACAGTCCATTAAGCGTCCGACTCTTGGTTTCACGTCATGATCTCAGAGTCTTGAGATGGAGCCCCGTGTTGGGCTCTGCACTCAGCACGGAGCCTGCTTGAGATTTTCTCCCTCAGCCCTCCCCAGCCCTCTCTCCAAAAAAACCAAAAGACAAAACGAAAAATTTCCATGCTGTGTGAATGACATTCTTTTCCTTGATGTTTACTCTGTTTTGTTAAAATAAAAAAATAAGAATGAAACATTTTTAAAACACAATTCTTTCACTCACTTTTTCATTTCTTATAGTTGCATAAAGGTAGACCTCAAAAGTATCTTCTTCCACGGCACACAACTTGGCTTCCACCTGGGTGGTTGCTAAATAACATAATGGAAAAAAAATAAGTCAGCTGACATTGAAACAATTACATTTCACCTAGTAATCCATACTAAGCATCACCCAGAGTCACCATACCAAATGGCGTCCTCCTGGTGGGGGCGGGGGGGGGTGGGAAAGTGGAGGCCAAGGCTCTCCTGGCCTGGGGTCAGGCGCATACCCTACCCATCCCCACCCACAGCTGCTGCTCCTGCCCCCTGCGAACACCTCCTCCAGCAGACCTGGCCCTCTTCCTTCCAGCGACTCCCAAATCCCCTTCCCACTCAGTCTTTCACCTGAGTCCATTCCACCCTGCAAACACCCCATCAGTCAGAGCTCTCAGAGACTCAGACCCAAGCACCCAAACAGCAGCTCCAGACACCGGGACCTTCACACAGTTTCACTTCACAGCTGTCACTGTCATGTACAGGGGAGGAGGCCGGCTCAGAGAAAGCTGCAGGGAAGCTGTGGAGCAGGATGCAGTCCCAGGCGCTCTGCTTTCTCCACACCTGTATGTCCCAGCATGCCCCCCTGCCACCAACATGGGCTCACAAGGGCCCAGACTCCAAAGCCAGAGGCCCTCCCAACCTCCCAGTTCCCCAGGGCCCAGCATGTGGCTATTCCTCCAGCCAGAGAGCGGGGCAGTGGAGGAGAGGGCCTAGCACCCCAGGCATTTCACACCCGCTTCTCAGAGCAGCCCCGGGCGGCGGGCACAGGGACTTGGCTCCTGCTGGCCAGGGGTCAGAACAGACAGCCCATGAGGCTGCACTTTACTGCCAACAATAGAAAATAAAGAGAGCACGCCGTACAGCTGCTCTGAGACAGGCTGCACATCTGAAATCAGCAATGATGACGACGACACAATGAATGTGCACGAGAAAAGTTCAACTTTCCATCACCTGTTGCTCCGTGAAGTGCACATACATTTATTTCTGCAAGGCGAAGCTCCCGTGCAAACGAAGGGCCCCTCACCCAAAGAGCCCCTTTCTCATTTCAACTCTAAATTATTAACGTCCACATCCACCCCCAAACTTTCAGGGGTGCAGAGTCGCTGTGACATGGGGCGGAAGGAGTCCCAAGTAACAGATGAACCCCTGTGAGGAGGGGGAAACAGCTGAAGGCACACATCCCAAACCCCCTCGCCAACAGAAAGATAAACCAGCCTGGGCGTCAGTTCAAAGCAGGCTGCAGTGATGATGCACTTGCCTTACCTTTTAGGATGTTCTGGAAGTACTGAATAGCTGCACTGTCCCACTTCTTGGCAGGTCTGGAACAGTAAACAGATGTAACCTTACCAAATAAAAATCCGAGGCTAGGGCACCAACATCAAAGCCATACACTGAATGTTTCTGACACTACGTGTTGAATGTATGATGCCTGGCCCTGCTTTGGGGGTGACAATCCCACCCACACCCTGCAACAGGCTCCTCTCATCACTGCCACCGGCACCCAGGGCAGAGACTGAGAACAGGCCCGCCCTGGGGCTTCCTGAGCAGCCCATGCCTGCCACCAGGGCATCGTCCGTCCCAGCACCAGAGTCCCCCGTCATCTGGGACCTATCGGTCTTCCCCGCCAGAACACAAGCCGCCCGGGCAGAGATGCTGTGCACGCAGTGTTCAGCACAGGCCAGCACAGGCCAGCACAGAGCGAGGGCTCCGTACGGCCTGCTGAGACCAGAGGGAAAGAGAGGCCGGGTGGAGGGCCGCCAGCCAGTCGCTCACGGTACCCCCACCCTGCTGCACCTGTCCTGTCTCCCACGTTCTATCATCTTGCCCTTTCCTGTGCTCTGGAAAGGAAATTTTAAGAAGAGCTGTGGGCAGTGGAAGATGAAGAGAAACCAGTATTTCGAAGCAAGGAACAAAAATAACTAAGAAAGGGTAGAGTACTATGTTTTATGTTTCTCTGCTGGTTTGATTTCCCAAATCAATGATGGTTTGATGCCACCGTCATCCTCCAAGGGCTGCTTTAAGGATCAAATAAGGTAATGTACATAAAGCACTTAGTCCCATGCCTAGGCAAAGGTATTATTTTATTTTACTAAAAAAGATATTTAGCACATTACTTCAAGAAAATCACAAAGGGTTCCTAAAAGGAAGTAAAAAAAAATTAAGACAGCGGTTCTAAATTCCTTGCTACACACACAAAAATTACCTAGTAAGTTTTAAAAAAATGAAATATAGATTTCTAACATGAAAATGGTCCAAGAGAAAAATCAATCTAGGCTATTCACAGGTAAACCACTCATTCAGTTCGTGTGTCTCTCTCTCACACACACACACAAATAACCACATGAAGAGACACCCAACTTTACAAGTTAGAAAAATACAAATTAAAACAAAATACCATGTTCACACAGCAAACAAGCAAAAATGAAAAAGCTTAATGATAGTCAACGTTGTGTGGAAAAGCAACACTCTCTGTACCCCAGTGAAGCGAGTACACATCGCTAGTCCTTCTGGAGGGCCGTTCGACAAAATCTATAAACACTGTAACACATATACCGAGACAGACATTCTAGATGAACTGCCCACACAGAGGGACATGGGCCTGCATGGAGGGTGAGCCGATGACTGGGGAAGGTGGTCACACAGAGGGGGCGAGGATGAGGGGGACTCTGGGGGAGAGCTGGGTGTGGACAGACTGGCAGCAGAGTCAGCCCTGGGGGGGTGAGTAGCTGGCTGCTCTGGAAGAGGGACAGGGAAGAGGCAGGGGTTGCTGTGTGGGGGACCCACTTTCCCAGAGTCTGAGGTGGCCGTGGTGTGAAGGGGCTGCAGGGACAAGCAGGCCCAGCATCCATTACTGAAGCTTCTGAGGCCGGCCACAGGACGATGTGCTTACCATCTCCAGGGAACGACAGGTGCTGGGGGGTGGAGGGAGTGGGGACGGAAGGTCTCCGTAGATCCCGCGAAGGCATCCACAAGAGGGGCGCCTTCCAAGTTCAGGGAACAAAATGCACCACCACCACGACAGGCAAGTTGAGCCAGAACTGTGCTGTGCCCACGGTGTTTCTTCCCGTAACACCACAGTCCTCGGGGTGGGGGTACCAGGAGGGAGGAAGGGGAGGGCTGCCCCAGGACCTCAGGTAGCACTCGGTCCAGACAGTGGGGAGCACAGCCATACCCCTGCCACAGCAGTGCCCAGTGTGGGGACCCTGGTGAGTCCTGCACAAACACTGGCAATGTGGCCCCAGACTAGGAAAACGGGGCAAAGACGGAGGCGGGGGTGATACGTGCATATGAGTATGCACGTCCACATCGCCACACCATGTTTTACTTGGATTTATCCGTATTCTTACGGGAATGTGCAGCGCAAACAATCTAGCTGGCTCTCAAGAGACAGACAGTTACATACAGCAAGTAGCCAGCTACATTCACCCCAGAAAAGTCCAACAGTGGAAGGCTGTACATGTACTTGCGAAGAGCTTCAGCACACTCCTGGCTTAAATCTACAAATAAGGCAGTAGGTTCTAATTTTCATGAAAGGCTCCACACAAACGAACATGTATAAAGTACTGACTGAGGTCTGTAAGTTCAGAGCCTGAACAGGTCCCAGAGGCTTGTGGGAGGGGGGGGCGCGGTTTAGGGACCAGAAAAAAATGCAATGGACTTTTTTTTTTAATGTTCCATGACCCTGTATTTCATCCTTTCTCTTTACAGTTTATTACTTTTTGCAAATTAAAAGAAGTTGCAGAGTGCAGAGCTCGGCACCCCCCTCGACTGCAGCGTCTGGAAGGGGGGCTGGCCCTGGGAGTTCCGCTCAAGGCCAGGTGCGACACACACCGACTCAGATGTGTCCTGAAGAACAGAGGCCACTTAGTGCTTCTCAAGGGGAACAGACTCCACATAAACCTCCTACACTCGATTTCAGACTTTTACTCACGCTTCAGCGTCCGTCACCAGCGGTACTTACACAATCTCAGCGCTGTCTTCACAGAAGTCAATGTGTAACGTAACAGGCTTCGTGCAGTACAGCCTGAATTTTTTCGCTCGGTAGGGAAGCTGCATAAAAGTTTCTACTGCAACTCGGATGCTTCACAGTGAAACAGAAACAGTTCCGTTACAAAGAAAACTTACATACAACAGATTTCTTTAAAGTATGCCCCCAAAATTGACATACCTAAAACACACCCAAACCAATTCTTTCTGTTTCTAATACAGCCACCAGCAGCAGGGAGAGTGGGCAGACCTCTGCCCAAGTGCAGAGGAGGGAGAAGAATCTTACTCTTCTTATGTATAAAAGCATAAAATATATGAAGAGTACATGCATGGATATTCAGAGTATCTTTGGCATTAAAACTTCATGGCGTGGGGGTGGGGAGTATTACAAAATTCACGTCTAACAAGGCTCCTCAGACTAAGAAACATTAGGAAATGAACAATCCTGTGAAGTCAGTTCTACTTAAGATTTTTGAATTTCTAATTTTAATACTCAACCCGAATTACGGTTTCGGTAAATGAGTAGATGTTTGTGTTTTTGAGCAGATGTTTTTATAGTTAGTATTTATCAATTCTGCACAAAAAGAGGGGCTGAGATTTGATAAATCTGTTGCTCAGCACTTTTATTTCCATTCTTCAGGCCAACGAGAGACTGCCTGTGCGTACCGTTCCAGGACAGGAGTTCTGGATGCCCTGTACGGGCAGTCTCACCACCTCGTCTCCACAGTTCAGAAAAAGGTGCCCCTCAAAGCCTTCCTGCACAATATTTAATCACGGGCTTCTCTTGCCCAAAACTCCAAATACTAAAAATCTTTCCAAAAAATTAAACATAACATTTACTTTGATAACAATTCTGGTTATAAAGGTGCAGAATCACAGGCTAGAAAGGCATCTACTTTTTTTTTCTTTAAAGATTTTATTTATTTATTCATGAGAGACAGAGAGAGAGAGAGAGAGAGAGAGAGAGAGAGAGGCAGAGGGAGAAGCAGGCTCCCAAGGAGCAGGGATCATGACCTGAGCCGAAGGCAGACGCTTAACCATCTGAGCCACCCAGGCGCCCCTCTTTTTTTTTTTTTTAAAGATTTTATTTATTTGACAGAAAGAGACACAGCGAGAGAGGGAACACAAGCAGGGGGAGTGGGAGAGAGAGAAGCAGGCTTCCCCCCGAGCAGGGAGCCCGATGCGGGGCTCGATCCCAGGACCCTGGAACCATGACCCGAGCCGAAGGCAGACGCTTAATGACTGAGCCACCCAGGCACCCCAGGCATCTACTTTTTTTCTTAAGTATCTGCGAATTTCCAATGTCTGAGAAGCCCTTCTGCCATGAAATGCTTTACTCTTATTGCAAGAATACTCTTACGGAAGAAGAGTCCTCACGTTAATTATTAAACTGATATCCTCTTACTCTGGGACAGGAAACTGAAAAATTACCACAAATGCAAAGGCTGACGTGTTGCTAGTGTTTTCTAATGAGCAGTTAATGCGTGCTCCTGGAGCCAATGAGGGCTGCTTCCGAACCATCTCCCCACCTTAAGTCACTGTGGGTCCCACCCTCACTCTGCTAAGGAAAAGGACCCAGAGTACGTGAACAGGTGCTCTGCTCCCGGCTACCTGAGGCTGTACCAGCACACACCCGTCCTGTGGGGACCAGATGACCTTCTGCTTCCAGGTAGAGTCTTTCCTGCAGCCCAGCCTCTGGAAGGACCCATCACAGGAACACGCTGAGAGTGGGAGGCCGGGTGAGCAACTGCCCCTTGGAAGGAAGGTGGAAGGAGGGCCCAGCTGCCCGGGGTCCTCACTGGGACCACCAGCCCCTACAATAACTGCGTATAGAACTGGAATCTGCAAGTCGTCCCCACGGGAAGCTAAGAACATTCTAGTTCTTTGACCTCTATCCTCTCACTGTGAAAACTGACCCTCTCCTTTAAAACCGATATCCGTCTTCCTAAAGAGCATGAGGTGAAATAAATACGTACGTACTTTTTAGATTTCACTGGGATGTACTTGGCAAAATCCACAAGGAAACATTCTGCCAGGTAATGGTCTGCCGAAGACACAATGGACTTAATAACAGCCCTGCACCAGCACTTCAGTTCCTGACAATACACCACACAGACCTATAAAATAAAAACCTCGGCATTAAAACCCCCAGTCACAGGAGAGAACAAAAAGGCACCCCCAAACCATCTCAGCCCACATTCCACCTGCCGGAAGAGGAAAGGCGGGGGAGGAGGCTGAGGCTGCCCATGCTGACCCCTGCTGGGTGGTAAACAGCACAGGGCACCCGTCCTACTTCAGGCTTTTCTTACTCCAGTCATGCTGACTCCTTAACTAAGGACAGGCTTTTGAAAGTAAAATAAGGAAAATGCAGCCCCATCTTAAGGAAACTGCCCGGCAGGAGTGACAGCTGCCTGGCGTCCCGACAGTCCCACGGGACTGCGACCCAGACCGGCAAACCACATATCGACCACAGGCCCCGAGGGTAGAGCACCACGCCTGACGGGGAAGGGGTGAGCTGAAGGGAGACCACCACGCTCAGGAACTGAAGCTGGACGCCACGGAGCAGCCACTTGGCAAGGGATGGGCTCTTGGGAGCCTCTCATAACTCCAAAGTCAAATAACTGGAGAGAAATCTTGCCAAAGGATGGAGGGTATTTCTGTTTAACGCTGAAGTCAAAGCAACTTGTAGGAATGGTGTAAACAGGTAATCGTTCACGAGGCCACGCTGGTTTTGAACTGGTGGCTTACAGGGCTTCCACCAAGCCAACATAGGACAATTTAAGCACCAAGAACAATGATTACAGCTGATGGACTATATTAAAAGCCATGAGTTCAATACAGTGCTTTAAAAATGAAAAGGAGGAGAGAAAAACAGCAGAGACCTCTGGACGCCTGTATACACAGCTGGGCATGAACGCTGGTAAGGGAAAGAATCAAGCAACACGTCTACCTTTCCAGCATGAACTGCAGGATATCAGGGTAGCCTCATCATCTTAATAGAGGAAGGAAAGTTCCCTGCAGATGAATTCCAGCTCAAGAACACAGAAGGAATGTGAAAGCGACCATTCTGGAAGCTTAAACAGAAGGGCTGCTTTGGGCCGTGCTGGTCACGGGATGGTGCCTCCCCTGCAGGAAAAGCTGACGGGCACCACCTTGAGGGAGGACTCAGGTGTCACCCTCTGAATCTGCTGGGCTTTGTCAACAGTGGTATTACCTCCCAATTAAATGCAAGGTGAAGCTCACAGTCCAATCACTCTGAGGGGGTAAAAAGGTGACCTTAAATCTAATCAAAGCTTTAACTACCAGTCCATATAAAATAGAGGGGACACGAAAGTTCAGCACCACCACAAGGAGGCACTCAGGCTCTCCAAAATGTGGAATATTTTAAAGGGACAGCTGACTGGGTTTCCTGTCTTCAACAAGTCAATGGTATGGAAAAAAATAATAAATGTTATTAATGAAGGTTTTTTTTTGAAAGGGGGAAGGAAATCAAGTTATTTCTAATGTTTCTCATAGTTTATAAACCTTTCCGAGTAGAAAAATTCAAACTCTTCTGAAAAGTGACTGACCTGCAGAGAGAATCAGACAATGGGCCCAGGAGCCAAGGTGGCAATAAAGGAAGAAGGGACCGTGATGTGAGGCAAGGAAAATAAACAGGAGTTGGCCAAAGTCACGGGCAGCAAAAGGGACGCCCCCTGCCCCCTCGGCTGAGGCCCCCACACCTGTGACAGATCTAGAATACATCTAGAATAGCCCTTGGTTCCCATCCCCAGGAGGATGGCCCGATGCCTGAATGTGGACGACATTCCATCTGCTGCTGCCCCACATGAATCTTCTACCACCTTTGCTTTCCAAAACCAGCCCAAATCTCGTGCAGCCAAAAGAACCTAACACAAAGCACTTATGTGCAATTAAAATACTCTAAAAGCTTTTATTGCCAAAATGCGTACATTTTAAGTAGTATTTCAAGACACAGCGCTTACAGCACACTTAGATACATACCTGCCCTTCTTCCAACATTAACGGTTTTATTTCTATATCTTGACGCATGCTATTGTAGAAGTCATTCATGGCACTATTTAGTTTTTGGTAATCAACTTCATGATCTAAAAACGGACTACTTCCTTTTATAATAACCCAGAAGCATCCTGGATCTTCAATCTGTAAAAATTTTTTAAAAACAATGCATGGTTTAAAAAGCAGAATCATAAAATAATAAACCTTAGAGGCATACCTGTTACTAATTTAAGTGATCTAACAAATTCTAGAGCAGTACCTGTCTTAAAAAAAAATCAGACCAAAGGTAAAAGATAAAAAACTGTCAATGTAGATCAAATCATCACACTTTACACCTTAAACTTATACGATGTTAGATACCAATTATATCTCAATTAAGCTGGATAAAAGATAAAAGATGCAAAGATAGGGTGCCTGGGTGGCTCTGTCGTTAAGCGGCTGCCTTCGGCTCAGGTCATCATCCCAGGGTCCTGGGGTCGAGCCCCACATCGGGCTCCCTGATCGGTGGGGAGCCTGCTTCTCCCTCTCCCACTCCCCCTGCTTGTGTTCCTGCTCTTGCTGTCTCTGTCTCTGTCAAATAAATAAATTAATTAATAAATCTTAAAAAAAAAAAGATGCAAAGATAAAACTCTAAAACATGTTAAAAATTTAAAAAAGTATAACCAATAACATCAGTAATTTTTAATTATGTGCTGTGACTCAAAAAGCAGAGATCAATGCCCTCCATCGCCTCTATTTTAATCTTTATTTTTTTTTAAAGATTTTATTAATTTGAGATAGTGAGAGAGAGAGAGAGAGAGAGAGCACAAGCAGGGGGAGGGGCAGAGGGAGAGGGAGAAGCAGACTCCCCACTGGGCAGGGAGCCCAACGTGGGGCTTGATCCCAGGACCCCGAGATCATGACCTGAGCCGAAGGTAGACGCTTAACCCACTGAATTACCCAGGTGCCCCATCTCCTGTATTTTAAAAATATGCATAATAAAATACAAAAGCAAAGTCCCATGTTTGCAATATGCTATGTCTTTTGTAAAAAAGAGAAGGAAATATGAATATATGTATATTCTGTTCATATTAAAAAAAAGAAATGGCAGATAAACCAAAACAAATATTAAGTTATTACCTATAGAAAGCCAGGAATAGAAGGGAGAGGGATGAAAGTCAGACTTCTCTGAATGTATCTTGATATAGATCAGTGTCATTAGAGACCAAGAATTTCGTCATTAGAGAGATTAGATGTAACATAAAAAGTTAAATTTGAGTTAAAAATATCAATAGGAACTCCTAACTCTGCCTACTGAAAGGGCCTAAAAGCAATGACATCCCAAGACTTCGGATCCGAGGTACCAGGTGGCAGGGGAACGGGTGTTCACATTAGTATTCTATTTTTCTAAATATCTGAATATTTTTAAAATAAATAGTTGGGAGGAAAAAAAAAGAACAATGGGCCATTCTGGTTCCAGGTCATGGCAGAGTCGGTTACATGGACTAATCCACCTGCAAGTAACAATGATCAGCCCAGGAAAAAATACAAAATAACAAATATGAAGGCAGTGAAGAGAAGAGAAACCGCAGGGACCGGATGCTTTGCAAGGAGGATGGGTCTTGGGTGAGACCCACGTTTCCGTACAGCTTTTCCAGCCCAGGACGACTGGCTGCAACTCAGGCAGAAAGCCGCAGTATTTGTGGCTTGAGGAACCAGAAAAGGGACGCTGAGGGGAGAAATTCGGAAAGAGCTGCCATGGGGAGAGCCAGGTCCTTGGCTAGCCTGCACGGCGCAGTGAGGGCCCGGCCGTCCACAGGAAAGCAGCCGCGAGAAGGTGGACAGAAACACCAGTTTTAGCTGCTGCTCGACAGAACGGCAAACTTGTGGCATGTCACCTCCCCAAACCTCTGCACCAAGCGGCCCCGTCCCAAGGATGGCCCTCGCCCCTCTCAAATGCCTGCCTGGGGAAGCTCAAGGCTGCCAGGGAAACCCACCATCTGCGGACAAAGACCCTTGACCACCCTTTCTGTGAGCATTTCCTCAAAAGGGCTGACGGGCGCCAATCCTCCCCGTCCCTTTGAGATGTGTCTGTTTCTCCCACTGCTCAGGAGTGTCTCGAGGGCCTGAAAGCCGAGACTGCCACCTGGAACCTCCTTCCTCAGCCAGCAGGCACCGACCAGTCCTTGGTGGCCCTCATATACCTGGAGCCCCTCCCCTCCTCTTCCTCGGTCTTTCCTCAAAATGCTCGGCCCCCTCTGCCCTTCTGCAGCTCCTGCCCCTACTCCTGGGCAGCTAATGCTCTAGCGAATGTCTGCCTTTGTTTGTCCTTGGCACCCATCACTGGAAAACAGTCTGCAGTGGGAGTCTGGCCAAATTCACTAGGCTCAGGAGGCACCGCAGGCTCTCCAGGGAAACCCCTGACGTGCCACGCCTGCGAACTCCAGACCTCACTCCTGGACAAACACAATGTGCTCTAGCAAAAGCAAACAGGGGCTTGAAGAGGATAAACCAAGCCTCCCAGACGGTGGATGCAGCGAGTGACTGAAGCGTAGGTCAACACTTTACCGCAGCTGCAATATCTCGTGTAGCAGTTACTAGCCGCGCAGAGATGAAAATCTGATGTGTGGCCAAGGACAAAAGCAGTCAGTAGAAGTGACCCAAGACCGCCCAGAAGTTGACATGAACAGGCAAGGATGTCAAAGCAGCTGTGAGAAATATGCTGAACAACTTAAGGACAAGATGGTTGTAGTGAGTTTGTGTGTTTACTAAAGAGGAGAGTCTCACTTAAGAAATGGAAACTCTAAAAAAAAAACAACTTTGGAAAACCTAATTCCTGAACTAAAAAGTAAAACATACAAAAAAAAAAATGTTACTTGTGGCGTGCTTACTACTCCTATTCAACATCGTACTGGAGGCCCTAGTCAGTATAACAAAGTAAGAAGAAGGTTGTCAGCAAGACTGGAAATGAAGAAAGAAAATTGTCTCTATTTACAAACAGTATCTCCATAGAAAATCCTAAGGAACCTACAAAAAAATATATTAGAACTAGTAAGTGGCTCTAACAAGGTTCCAGGGTACAAAGGCATATAGTACATTCAATTGTACATCTATAGTCCAGCAATGAAAACTGGAAATTTAAATTAAAAAAACAGCACCATTTTCAACAGTGCCAAAAAACAGGATTACTCAGGAATGAACCTAACAAAATATATGCAAAATGTGTGTGTTGAAAGGTACACAAACTGATCAAACAGATCAAGGAAGGCCTTTAATGCCAGTATACTGTGTTCCTGGATTAAGATGTTGATTTTTCCCACAATGATCTATAAATATAACTCAGTTCCAGCAGGAATTGAGAAATCAATGAACTCACTATGAAATTCTTATTGGAAAGGCAAAGGAACTAGAATGGCCCAAATAATTCTGGAAAAGAACAACATAGTTGGAAGACTCATACCACCTGATTTCGAGACTTACTAAAAAGCTACAGTAATTAGAATTGTGCTACTGGAGAAAGCACAGACAAAAACCAATAGAACAGAAACAGACCCACACATATGCAGTCAATTGAGTCTCAATAAAGGCACAAAAGCAATTGGGTGGAGAAAGGGTAGTTTTTAACAAATGATACTAGAACAATTAGTTATCTGTATGCACAAAAGTTAACTTTGATCCATCCTTCATTCCAGATACAAAAATTAACTCCAATGGGTCCTATATCTAAATGTAAAATATAAAACTATAAAATTTCTAAAAATACATGGGGGAAATCTTTGTGACTGTGGGTTAGGCAAAGATTTTAGATATAACACCAAAGTATAATTTGTACAAGCAAAAATTGATAAATTGGACTTAATCCAAATTAAGAACTTCTGCTCATTGAAAGACATTGTTAAGAGAAAGAAAAGTCATAAACTGGGAGAAAATATTTGCAATCACATCCAACAAAGAACTTCATCCACAATATATAAAGTGTAAAAACTCAGTAACAGAATGACCAACTAGAGAAATGGACAGATCCAAACAGACATTTGACCAAAAGAGTGGAAGGATGGCAAACAAGCACAAAGATAATTAACATATCATTCATCATTAGAAAATGCATATTAAAACCACAAGATACTACTACACACTAAACTAAACATGACCAGAATGGCTGAAATCTAAAAAAAACTGACCACATCACGTGCTGGTGAGGATGCAGAGCAACTCGACATTTTTTTTTTTTTAAGATTTTATTTTTAAGTAATTTCTACACCCAACATAGGGCTCAAATTCACAATCCCAAGGTCAAGAACCCCGACTATAGGCGCCCTGCAGCTAGAACTCTTACACATTGCTGATGGGAACCCATAATGGTACTGTCACTGTGGAAGATCTTCTCATGAAGTTAGACAGATAATCCAAGCCTAGTTATTTATCCATGAAATGGAACTTGTGTTCACACAAAAACCTGTCTGTAAAGGTTACAGCAGCTTTATTTATAATCTCCCAAACTGGAAACAACTCAAAGCGCCTCCAGCTAGTGACAGTACAAACAAATCTGCATATTCATACAATGGACAATGACTCAGCAGTAAAAAGGAAGACATCGTGATTCACGCAACAACCCCCCCGGCAGGCAGGTCTCAAATGCATACACTAAGTCAGGGAAGCCAGATGCAGAAACTCGGTCCTACTGCATGATTCCGTGCGCACATTTCCATTTTTACGACATCCTGGAAAAGGCAAAGCTAACAGGGAAGATAAAGATCAGTGGTTGCAGGGGATTTGGAGAGGGGCAAAGAAAGGACTACAAAGGAGTATAAGGTAATGGAGGGGTGACAGACTGCTCTCTACTCTGTGGTGCTGGTTATAGGGCTGTATGCATTTTTCAAAATGGCACAGAATTCTACATGAAAAATGATCAGTTTACCATATATAAATCATACCTCAATTTAAAAAATAGTTTATGGGTTAAAAAAAAGAGGGGCACCTGGGTGGCTCAGACACTTAAGCGTTTGACTCTTGGTTTGGGCTCAGGTCATGATCACAGGGTTGTGAGATCGAGCCCCGCTCTGGGCTCTGCGCTCAGCGGGGAGTCTGCTCAATATTCTCTACTTCTTCTCCTTCCCCCACTTGTATTCACACGCACACACACACTCTCTAAATAAAATCTTAAAAAAAGATGTGAAGCAAACATGGCAAAATGTTAAAAGGTTTGACAAAGTTAAGTGGTGTATGTCCAGGTGTTTATGATTGTTTTTTATACTTCTTTGTATGTCCAGAATATTTCCTAATAAAAAGATTTTAAATTATTTTTAATCACAGGAATGATTTTAAAAACCTTCTTGTCCTCTGATGTGATATTGCCCATGCAATATTTTTACTAAAAATGCCTAACTGAACATAATCATGAAGAAACAGACAAATCCGAAATGAGTGATACTTTGCAAAGCAACTGCCCTTGTTCTTCAAAATTTCAGTGACATCAAAGACACAAAAAAAGCCAAGGAATTGACCTAAATTAAAGGAGACTAAGAGGCCATGACAACTAAATGCAATGTACAATTTTTTATTGGATCCTGGAGCAGAGAAAACAAGTTTTAGAAGACATTATTGGGACAAACGGAGAAATCTGAACAGAGACTATGTATTATGGTACTGGATCAATGTTAAATTTCTCAAGTGGGATAATTACATCCCGATGATGTAAGAGAAAGTCCTGGTTCTTAGGAAATACCTGTGTAAGGAGTTGAGTTCTCAACTCATTCTCAAATGGTTCAGCAAAAAAGCAAATAATTTTATATATACTATTTATAAAGAAATATGCAGGTCAACAAAATGTTAATTAGGGTGTAGAGAGTATGGTTATTCTCAATATGGTTTTTGTAATTTGTTTTTATATTTGAAAGACTTCAAAACATAAAGTTGGAAAGATGCTTAAAAATTTTTTTTAAGGCAGGAGCGCCTGGGTGGCTCAGTCGTTAAACGTCTGCCTTTGGCTCAGACGGGGTCTGAGCCATCCCAGGGTCCTGGGATCAGCCCCGCATCGGGCTCCCTGCTCGGCAGGGAGCCTGCTTCTCCCTCTCCAGCTCCTGCTCCCCCTGCTTGTGTTCCCTCTCTCGCTGTCTGTCAAATAAATAAAATCTTAAAAAAATAATAAAAAAATAAAATTTTGGTCCACTTTCTTCTCCTTTACCCCTACCATTCAAACCTGAATACTTAAATTTTATTCAAATAAAAGCAAAATCATTTATCCAGCAAGATAACAATATTTCGCATCATTACTAGGATTTAATTGAATTAGGTGTGCTTTTTATTATTTCTCAGGAATGATTAACCCATCTTTTCTTTGTTATTTCCTACATTGTTATTCCCCTTTACTTTTTTACTTCCCTGAGCAATAATGTCATGAGTGTCTCATTTTCCACATTCGGTAGTATGAGTGTGTCCAAGTCTGATCTTTAATTTCTGTTCAATTCCCCTTCGTGTATGTTGATATTTCCATAATAACTCCAGATATTTTAGTCAAACTTAAACTCCCCAACATCGATTGTAAAAATTAAGATGTTCATTTTAAAACGCTGTAATTCCAAATGAAACAAGAAGACCTGGCCCACTCAGTCATGCTGACGTGAGAGGTCCTCGGACCTTCATTCTCAACACGGCCTCCTCTGGGCAGGAAAACCACTCTTGAAATACTGTTTGTGGATTCCACGGACAGTACTGAAATCGTGTGTGTGAGCCAGAGGAACAGGTGCTTTACCCCATTAGTGACATCACAGCCTGCAGCTTTCAGAACTTCACCTGTGTCTGCCACCCCTCCCTGGCACAAGCTGTCCACTTGAAGGCTCCACGCCTCGCTGTCCAGAAATGTCAACAGTCCTGCTAGAACACAGCTTGACTCTAAGACCAATGGCCCTGGGGCTTTTCCGGTGCCCATCACCTTTCTTATCAAAGATGCTATGGCTAATCTTTCTCTCCTATAGCCCTTCTCGGGCAACAAGCCCATAGACGCCAGTCCCACTGTGTCTCACTGCACTCTGCCTGACTCATCCCTGACGTAATGGCATGTTCCCTGGGCTACTTTCTTAATACATTATTTTTAATCGACACCTTTTTCTTCATTAGACTCATCTTAACAGGCTTGTAATACTAGTTCTGTTTTTATTTCTAAAATCTATTACAACAAATATTAACTATTAAAATTTAAAAATAATTTTAATTGTAATTTTGTGGTAAAATACACAAAAATTTACCATTTTAACCATATTCAGTGGCATTAACCACATCCATCACCACCATCCATTTCCAAAACTCCTTTCAGCTTGCAAAACTGAAACTCTACACCCTTTAAACAATAATCCCCCACTCCCCCTTCCCCTCAGCCCCTGAGCAAACGCCCTTCTACTTTCTGTCTCTATGAATGTAAGTACTCTAGGACCCTCACAGAAGTAAATCATACAATACTTGTCCTTTTGTATCTGGCTTATTTCACTTAACAAGTGATGGTTCATCCATGTTACAACATATATCAGAATTTTCTTTGCTTCTAAGGCTGAGTAATATTCCATTATATGTATAGACCACAGTTTGCTTCTCCACTCATCTACTGATGGGCACTTGGGGGAAAAAATTGTTCATGTAAAAGCTAAATTAACCTGAAGCTCTACAACTGGTAACCTGCACCACACTTAGGGAACCACTCCTATATTGTATAGAAAATTTGCTGAGGGTGAACAGTTAAGAACCAGAAGTGTGGACAGACCAAAGCTGACAGGGTGAAGAAAAGGATCCAAGACGGGGGTTGCTTCCCAAGTCTGAGGCAGTGAGAATCCAACTCCTCCTGCCAAAATTCTGCCCCGGTGGATTTGCACGTGGCAGAATCCGCAACCCTTGAAGACCCCTGTCTTTCTAAAGGAGAAATGGGAGATGCCTATTTAGGACTGTGATGGAGGGGGGCTTGCCAGCTGGATCTGAAAAGCCTAAAAGTCTTGGAGCAAATCCTCTCTAAGAATCAGATGCTTCAAACGACCGTGAATCTCTGCTCATATAAATTACGTAAGACCTAAAAGAGGAGCGGGAAAATTGGTTTTTTTAAATCCCATCATTTGGTACGTTCCTCTCCTCTGCCTACAGAAGCATGATTTAAAAAAAAAAAAAAAAAAAAGATTTGTATTTCCTTTTCCCAGAGACCGAAACCCACCCCCTTTGCTCTGGTTTGTAAACTCCTCCCTCCAACTAACCTCGCGAACACGCCATGCCTTCAGTCTCCTGCATCTTACCTGAGACACGGAACTGCAGCTGCCGGCGGCCCCACCTGCCTTCACGCCGCTCCGAGGACTGAGGATCCGAGCCCCGGGGCGCACGCGTGGGGAGGGGGCCGCCAGAGTCCCAGGGCGCGAGCGAGCAGGGTTTCCCGCGTGAAGCCGGGACGGGCGTGTGTGGAGGGGTGGTTGCCACGAGGGGCCCCTTAGTGGGGACCCACCGGAGAGGACCCCTGTCGGGCGAGGGGACCAGGTGAGGGTCCCCATGTCCAAGGACCGGGGGGCCCAGGGGCCTCTCCGCCAGCACCTCCCGGGACGGGTGAGCGTGGGAGAAGGAGTTACGGTTACAACCTCCCCCCTAAGGTTGCAGAGTTAGTAAATTCATGATGAGTTTCGGACAAACAACTGGTTAACTTTTTACTGTGTCCCAAATAATACATAGGCACACCTGAACTGAAATCTCGTGTTGTGGATCTGCAATCGGGGAGCCGGGATCCCATCTGGCAACCCACCCATGGGTCCGAAGCCCCGAGGGGCGTGACCAGCCGGGGCGGACCCTGCGCGGGGAGAGGGCGGCCAGGGCTGGGCGCTCGCTCACCTTCAGCACCAGCACCTCGAGCATCTTCCCCGAGCGTCGCTCGCCGCCGGAGGACAAACGTGAGGAGACAAGCGCCGTCGCGGCCGCGTCCCTTCCCGGGTCTTCCCGTCGCCAATCACTACTCGGAAGGCACTCTGCGGGCAAAGCCCGTGGCAGGGCCAGCCTCCGCCCTCCGTGGGGGCCCCCGGCTCGCCCAGCTCCGACCCCGGGCCCCGCAGGCCCGCCCGCTGCGCACCACCCGCGACCCTCCGTGCCCTCCCAAGAGGACGCCGCCAGGGGCGCGCTCGGCGCTCGGCCCCCGCGCCCGATCCCGACCGCGCAATCCTCGAGGCTTCCAGAAAGCCCGCACTGCGCCAACGGCCGGGACAACTGCCGGCCGCCCTGCGCAGAGCGCCGGGTGCGGCGGGGCGGGGCAGGGGCGCTAGGAGGAGACACGCAGGGGTCGCACAGCGGGCGGCGCCCGGCGTCACGTGGTTCGCCCCCCACCCCGACGTCTTACGCGTCCCGAATCAGTTCGCGGTTGGCTGGCAGGAGGTCTCGCCGAACCCGCCTCCGCCTGGTGGCCTTAGGGGTGAGGAAGAGGCACAGCCGGTCACTAATAGGAGGGTGGGGAGTGGGCTTCTGGCAACATCTCCCCCCCCCACCTCCGCCTCCTGCTTCGGGTCCCAGATTTCCTCCCATCTGGCCCTCAGCCGGCAGGGCTCCCCCAGACTCTGTCACTGGCCGTTCTGCTCACCAAACTGCAGCTTCCTGAGCCGGGCTCTTCCCCGCACGTGTATTTGTTGTTGTTGAGGCACTGAAGAGTTCTCTAAATTTTGAACACCTGGACGCCTCAGTTTTTCTCACCTAAAAAATGAGACTCACAATTAGATGGGGTCACACTCTGAAATAAAGGACACCCAAGACGCACTCAGGGAGGGTCAGCTTTCATTACTCCAACACTTCAATAAGCCAACAAACAAGAAGAAAAATGATTATTCCTTAAAAATCCAAAAGGAACCACTGGGCGCCTGGGTGGCTCAGTTGGTTAAGCGACTGCCTTCGGCTCAGGTCATGATCCTGGAGTCCTGGGATCGAGTCCCGCGTTGGACTCCCTGTTCAGTGGAGAGTCTGCTTCTCCCTCTGACCCTACCCCCTCTCGTGCACTCTCTCTCTCACTCTCTCTCTCAAATAAAAAAAAATCAAAGGAACCACAGCTAAAATAAATGATAAAAATGCCGGGCCTATGTGGTTTTAAAGGTGAATTCTTCAATATCTTGATTGTGAAAAAACAAAGAATTTTAAGCCCAAATCGAAAGGCATTAATTTGCTAGTAAGGGGAACCAACAAGATGGCAAAAAAATTGCACCAGTTTTAAGAGAGCATGGCAATTGTGGGGTTCTGAGAAACAATGCTCACAAAAGTGTCCAGATTTAAAAGTTTGTTAGATTTCACAAGGTCAAGCAACATCATCTGCTTAAAGTCTCAGGCAGGAGGATTGGAGAGGAGAGGTGTGTGGACCTCCAGTCAGGAGGAAAACACAGCTGCTGAGTACATGAAGTTCACCCGTTGCCTAACAGAACTAACCAGGCTTCACCTCCAGAGACCGAAACCCACCCCCTTTGCTCTGGTTCAGGACCAACAAATCTGAAAGCTCCAGACCTTGTCAGAAAGAAGTGTGAAAGGACCAGATCTTTTATATATATATACATATATATTTATTTATTTTATTATAAATATATTTTTATATATTACATATATAAATATATATAAATTTCTATATATTTTTAAATATTTGACAGAGCAGGAGAGAGAGTGAGAGAAAGCACAAGCAGGGGGAGCAGCAGAGGGGCAGGGAGAAGCAGGCTCCCCACTAAGCAGGGAGCCCAATGCCAGGCTGGAGCCCAGGACCCCAGAATCATGACCTGAGCTGAAGGCAGACACCTAGCCCACTGATCCACCCAAGGGCCCCAGGATCAGATCTTATTTAAACGGGAGGTCCCAGGAACAGTTCCCAAGCCCCAAAGAAAATGCAGATGTCTCCCAGTTCTTAGTGTGCGGTCAACATTTCTTTTTCTTTTGACTAGAACCCATGCTACAATATGATGTTTTCTGAACTTTTTCACAACACAGCTCACAGAAAATGGAAGTATTTCTCCATCGCGCTTCCTAGTCCCCTTGAGGCTGAAGGGAACCAGTATCTGTACCTGTAACCTGTCTCCCCCCCATACCCCCACTAGCTAGTGGGAAGCCTTATTTTAGAAATTACTCCACAATAAGTAAGTCATGGGTATGTGATGTACAGGACGGTGACTATAGTTAATACTGTATTGCATATTTGAAAGTTGCTAAGAGAGTAGATCTTAGAAGTTCTCATCACCAGAAACCATTTTTTTTAACTATGTATGGGGACAATTAGACTTATTGTGGTGATCATTTCAAAATATATACAAATATCAAATCATTGTGTTGTACACCTGAAAGTAATATTGATTATATCTCAATAAAAAAAATAAAAAAAAATTACTCCACAAGGGTGCCTGGCTGGCTCAGTGGGTGAAGCATGTGACTCGATCTCGGGGTTGTAGGTTTGAGCCCCACATTGGGTGTACAGATTGCTTAAAAACAAAATCTTAAAAAAAAATTACTCCATAACATAATAAGATGAAAAGACTCTCAGTGCATTTTCATAAGGCAGTTAAGTCCTGAGATATTAAAACCGGACCAAGATAACACAAAGAACTACAGACTAATTCCACTTCTCAACATAGGTGCTGAAATCCCAAATAAAATGCTACCAAGTAAACCCATGACCAAAAAAAAAATTCAAGGTCTACACTTCTCTAGTTCTGTCAAATAAATAAATAAAATTTTCAAAAAAAATTTTTTAAAATAATCTCATCATTTTAACAAAAAGGAAAGAAAATGAAGTTTGGCCCCAAAGCTGGCTTAATCATTTGTCGGTTGATTTTAAGAAAATAACTTTTTTTGCTTTTATTTCTTAAATAAAAGCAATTTCTTAAATTTCTTTCTCTATTCTTAAATTGAGAGAGAGTGGACATTACAGTTATGGCATCATAACCCAAAGATAGAAGCCTGGTGCTTGCCCAGTGTTTTTCCCAGACACCTCAGTTGTCTTTCATGGACTTGAGCTGTCTGTCAGAGAATGCCTTGTTCATGGTTCCCACTAATATTATACAACTGTCAGATTATCCCTGTTTCTAATGTATTTTTAAAAGATTTTTTAAATTTATTTGACAGAGAGAGACACAGCAAGAAAGGGAACACAAGCAGAGGGAGTGGGAGAGGGAGAAGCAGGCTCCCTGCCGAGCAGGCAGCCCGACACTGGGCTCGATCCCAGGACCCTGGGATCATGACCCGAGCCAAAGGCAGACGCTTAACGACTGAGCCACCCAGGTGCCCCTCTTATGTATTTTTAATAGCTCAATATTGCTATTCACTGCAAGAAGTTTCTCACATCTCCATTTTGAACTATACACTATCAAACTAAAATTAACCGTTGTCCCATTTACTGCTTTGTACGTTGATACTTCATCTGATTAATACTCTCTAAGCTTTTCTTGTTTTTTTCTTTTTACTTTTAGCCCTCCTGCAGAATTGTTTTACATGACTTAGGTTTAGTTTTCAGTTCAAGATATAGTTGACGTATAATATTGTGTAAGTCTAAAGTGTATAACATAGTGATTTGATATATGTGTATATTATGAAATATAGTAACTAAACAGTAGGTTTAGTTAACACCTGTCACCTCACAGAGTTATAGTATTTTCCTTGTGATGAGAACTTTTAAGATCTACTCTCTTAGCTACTTTCAAATACACAATATAATATTGTTAACTATAGTCTTCACATTGTACATAACATCCTTAGAACTTAATTATCTTATAACTGGAAGTTTGTACCTTTTGACCACCTTCACTAATTCCTGCACCACACACCACCCACCTCTGGCAACCAAAAATCTGATCTCTGTTTCTATGGGTTTGGTGTTGTTTCATTTTGTTTTTTAGATTCCACATATAAGTGAGATCGTACAGTATTTGTCTTTCTCTGATTTATCTCATTTAGCATATTGCCCTCGAGGTCCATCCGTGTTTCACAAATGGCAGGACTTCCTTCTTTTTTATGGCTGAATGGTATTCCGTCATATATAATTAACATTACATATATTATATATATTAGAACATACACATTTACATATGAGTATATGAACATAATAGTGCTCCACCTTTTTGTTAACCATTCATCCATCTATGGACAGGTTGTTTCCATGTCCTAGCTATTATAAATAATGTTGTAATAAACATAGGGGTGCCAATATCTCTTTGGGATAGTGATTTCATTTCCTTTGGATATATCCCCAGGAGTGGGATTGCTGCATCATGTGGATCTACGTTTGATTTTTCAGGAACCTCCATACTGTTTTCCTTAGTGGCTGTACCAGTTTACATTCCCACCAACAGTGCACAGGGCTTCACTTTTCTCCACCTCTTCACCAACACTTGCTATCTCTTGTTTTTCTGATGAAACCATTCCAACAGGTGTGAGGTGATATCTCATTGTGGTTTTGATTTGCACTTTCCTATTACTGATGTTGAGCATTTTTTCATGTACCTGCTGGCCATCTGAATATCTTCTTTGGAAAAATGTCTATTCAGATCCTTTGTCCATGTTTTAATTGGATTTTCCTGGCTGAGTTGTATGAGTTTCTTATGTATTTTGGATATTAACATTATCAGATATGCGGTTTGCCTTTCCATTCTGCTGATTGTTTTTTTTGCTGTGCAGATTTTCAGTTTAATGTAGTCCCACTTGTTTTTGTGTTGTTGTTATTGGTTGTGTTTTAAGTGTCATTTCCAAAAAATTATTGCCAAGACCCATGTCAATAAGCCTTTTCTCTATGTTTTCTTTTGGGAGTTTTATGGTTTCATGTTTCACATTTAATTCAGCTTTTAATCCATTTCTAGTTAATTTTTATGAATAATATAAGATAGGGGTCTAGTTTCATTCTTTTGCATGTGAGT